CTTTACTCACAAGGAGGCTTTTCCTGCAGCTGTATTCGATAGGCTCTAAAGTGCTTTAGTGCTTGTGCTGCCACACTCCTCCTTTGGATTTTTCCCAATAACCTAGTTTTCTCTGGAACGCCTGTGTTTGGAATGCCTACTGATTCTGCCTTCTATACTGAATCTGACTATCTATGTGAAGTTGGATTGCTGCTGTTTTTAATGATTGAAGTTTTATTGATTGCATTTGTGTGCCGCCCCATAGCCCAGGAACTCTCTGGGCAGCTCACAAAAAAGCAGAAACAACAACATAACTATAGTAAAACAAAACAATAACAACTAAAACCACATTAATTCCAAGTAATAGGTGTGAAAGGATGATTTGAAACAAGGGAGTAAAGAGATTTAAAAGGGTAGCAAAGAAAATTACTTAGCCCAAAGGAGGGGAGGGGCCAAAATCAGATAGCACAAGGTATGGGGAAACAGGCACATAGGCAGGAGGGCCAAATACTTCCTGATTTTTTATGGACAAGCTGGGCAGAACAAAATGAGCCTATTGTAGCCCACCGGGGGCAGGGCTGGATTGTGAAGAAGGGCCGGTGTTGGGCAGCGTGGAGTAGGCGGGCAGAAAGAGTGTAAACTCTCAGTACCCTATTAGCCAATTAGGGGAAAGGAGGAGGGAACAAGCAGCTGGGAGCAGGGTTCAAAAGGGATGTGTGAACATGTGCTCAGGTGAACAGAAAAATGGGAAGGAAACCATTCTTTTCTGTTCCCTTCATTGCAATAAAGTTTTAAAAAGAACTCTCTGCAAGCCTGGAATATTTTTCTCTTCCGACGGAAAGGAAAGAGTGATCATAACACAAGTAATACAAAGTGCGAAGCAGGAAGATAATATAAACAAAAATAAAAGCAACAATAAAACCAGCAGTGAAAAGCAAATAAAACCATAAAAGCAGACACTAAATTAAATAGTCTTTACTTGGTGATGAAAACAGAATAACAAGGGTACCAGTTGCACCTCTTTAGGAAGAGAGTTCCAAAGAAGAGGCGAGATAACAAACATCAGGGTTCTTTTAGACAAAGAATGATTGTATCAAGCTTCTAATTTCCTGTGATTGTATAAAGACATTACTTGATTCTGCATTATTCATGTTCAAGAATTAATATTCTTGCACGAATAGAAAAATGCTTTCTGCTTTCAACTGCTAGGATGATTACCTTCTATATGAACTTTGTGATAAAAATGTTTTCTTTGGGTGACTGATAACATAAACCTTTGAGACTACAGAGGACAGCAATGCCAAAAGATGGTCCTGTTTGAAAAAAAAACCTAAAAATTTAAATTAAAAAAGATCAACAAGGGAAAGAAGACAATTCACGAAAAACTCCCAAGACCCCTGGCAAAAAGATTCAAGAGAGGCAGAATGAGGGAAGCCCATGTGGCCAAAAAGCCAGCTAGCCCATGGGGATCAGATGCAAGAGAGATCATTAGGACACTTGCGGCTTTATTTTTGCAAAGGACACCTTCATCCTTCAACACAACTTTCTCTACAATAGACCCCAGTTCATGAAAGTGTCTTAAGCCGCACTAAATTTGTGAGACTTTGAGGGGCCGCATTGGCTTTATAGCTTTTGAACACGAATGAGCAAGAAGCCTGGATGCTGCTTCCTCATCTATTATTCTTTGTAGTCTAATGCAAAGCCTGTTGCCAAGAAGAACCGTGTACACAGCAGAATTTTTTTATGTGGAAAGCAGGTATCCTCCATAAAGAGGACAGCAGAGCTAAGATGCTTCAGACACGCTCCAGCAACCTACAGCAAGCTGTACGCTCATGCCTTGCACCCAGTTCAGACATTGCTGCTTCTTTGAACCATTTTTCAAGCAGAAAACTAGTATCTTCATGCTGCAGGTGCTCCCAGACTGCTAAGGGAGTGAATCCTGCAAGGCTACAAGTTGAGAGGGAAGAAGCTGTATGATACTAAGTGAGATGCTGACAATTAGGGCAGCTCTGAGGATCTGGGGCCCATGCTCAGGGTATCTCTTGCAAAATTCCTGCTATCTTCATGCTGGAAAGCAATTCCCTGCACAGACAAGCCAGACTGTTACACAGATAATGACAAGTACCCTGTACTGATAGATTGGTAGCAACACTATCTCTGATCAGCCAGTCTTTGCTGGCTGATGTTCCTATTGGAGTATGTGTTGCCTCAGATGAAATAAAAGTACCAATTTCTTGGATAACTAAGGAGCAAGTCAGTGTCCACCAGAGCCAATGTTGGTTGTGTAAGGACAAAATGAACAAAAGCTTTGCCATAATATGGCTGCTAAAAGCCTAACACTGTAAGAACAGCTTTAGAATTCAGATCTGATTCCTGATGTTACAAGTCTAGATTCCCAGGTATGTCTTAGAAATGGAAATGGGCATGTCTTTTGGAGGTACACTCTTAGATATACCAATTGTTTACCTGTCCTGGAAGTTCTCTCTTCCTATTGGCTTAATCCCTTTTGTTTTATGTTAATGTGCCTCTGGCATACTGATCCCCCAGTAAATAAACCTGTAAGTAACTGATAGGTTATAAAAGCGTCTTGTATAGATTCCATCTCTGTAGTCCCTTCCAAGACTGCCTAAATACTGGATGTTTTTCCTGTATGTCTAAATAAACTGTAAATGTTCTTTTGATTGCACACTCCAGTGGACTCTTGAAGGGGTTTTCTCCCCCGCTCTTGTCAGTTGCGATAGTTTCTGTGCCTCTCTCTCTCATAACATTTATAGTTATGGAGAAGTGTGGTCGGTCTGGTAGGTACATCAGGAGTAGGCAACCTTTTGGGGCCTCTGGATGCATTTAGCAAACTGTCCTGACCACAAGCACAAAAAGGCTGCCATGGGTGCTGTGGCTAGTCACAATGGACAAGGAATTTGCCCAAAAGACTTGGCAAGGCGGGGGGGGGGGATTGATAACTAGTTGTTTAGTTGTCACACTAATCCCACAGTTTTCAACAATGACAGAAACTTACTTCCTAAAATTCAAACTCATTTATTTTCTTTCTCTCCAACCCCTCTTCTGCTGACCAATTTAGTCTTTGCTATGTATTTTCCTCTCACACTCTGTACTAAAATGACCTTGTATTACTGAGCCCTACACAAAAGAAACCCCTGTAAAAGTTGCTATACAGAAAACCTTCAAATATTTAATCAAAGAAGCCTCTGCCTTTATCTTTCAAAGCAGATAAAATCATAACTAGTAGGTAAAGAAAATGAAAAATATACAGAACATTCTAAAAGTCAACTCCATTTCCAAAGGGAAAAAATAACACATTTTTTATAATTCCATTGTACACAGCCCCATCTCCTGGTTAAAAAGCAAAAAAAAAAAAAAAAAGAATGTTGCATTTTGTTTAATAATATATTTGATGTAAAATGGAAGATTCAGTCATATGTAGCTGGATTAATGCCTGATGAGCTGGTGACATGAGGTAACAATCCTATGACAATCCTATGACTTCTGCAATAAAGGCTGAAATGTTAAGGTGATCTATGAGGAATGTTTGACAGAAACCACATGGCAGAAACTTTGCTTCTGGTAAATGCAGCCAAGAGGTTCTAGGACCCAATTTTAAGTTGTGAGGAGGCTGACACCCAGGGCCTCCCATTTGGTCTAGCAGTTAAGATTCTGGTTTTCACACAGGTAAGGTGGGTTCAACTCCCAGTGTGGGAACAGAGGACATTTTGGAGAGCTACTGTGGTGTAGTGATTGAAGTGATGGGCTTGGATTGGGGAGATCCGGGTTCTAGTCTCCACTCAGCCATGAAGCTCACTGGTGACTTTGACTCTCAGCCTAACCTGCCTCATAGGGTTATTGTGAGGATAAAATGGGGAGGAGCCATCTTGGGTCCCTTGCAAGAGGAAAAAGGTAGGATAAAAATGTTTTAAAGTTTTGTTGCTGTTAATAATCTGACCTATATGCATCCAATCAAGATACCATAGAGCTGAAGGTGAAGAAGAGGAGGAATTAATCAGGACATGGAGCATCTCCTTTATGTGTGATGTGTCCACATCCAAATTAGGGAGTCATATGTTACTGATTACTTATTAGCATAACATTTTTCATTTACAATGCCTGCCATTTCATTCCATTACCACCCCCAAAAGAAATTAAGCTAACCTAGATGGATTGATGGTATTTTTTATCTACTGCATTTAGACACTTTCCTTCAAGCCCAAACACCCTCCAGAGTGCCTTACAAAGGTAAGCATAAGATCTAGAAAAGCAGCCTTAAGTTCTTAATTGTGGGCCCTTTATTTTAATAATTCAGCACAGCAAGACTCTCTACTCAGGGCAGATATCAGCACAGGGCTTCCAAGTCCAATAGTCATGCTTGCACACGTCGCTATAATCCTGGGCTGTGAAGCCCATATATAACTCTGAAGAGCAGTCTGGAGTCCCTAGTTTGGTGTCAAATCTCTTCACCCATCAATCTAGTTCCAAGTTTTTCCTCCTCATAAATGAGGGTCGTGAGCGTTCATCTCTGCCTGAGGACCATTCCCCTTTGCGCAACGAGGGGCGCTCTCGGTCAGAGCAGAGGTCGTTTGGGTGAGAAAATAATGGAAGATCATCGCATTTCTTTCATTTAATTATCTACAGCTATTTTATATTGGCCATTACCAATTAGCCGTTCCATCCCCTCTTCTTAGAGACAAAATGAAAACCATGTTATAAGTGTCTGCGCGCAACACTTTAAAATTTAAAAACAAGTTAAAACAGTATCAAACCAGCAGCGGTGGCACCCAAAATCGTAAAGTCAAATAAAGAGCGGCGGGGCGGGGGGAGGAGAGATTGGAAGGCAATTGCTTTGCCTGTCCGCCTGGTTTGGAAGCAATTCTGGCCGCCTCGCCGAGTTCCCGAGAAGCATCCCTGTCCCCTCCTGAAATGCCTGCCCTGCGGCCATCATTGCCGTACGAACGCCGCCCTGCCAGAGCTCCCTTGCTGATTGGCTGGTCAGGAGAGGGCGTAACTCTGGAGTGGCAGGATGTCACGTGCGGGCTGAGCTGGAAAAAACTCCAAAGCGGGGAGCGGCAGCCACCTTGGGGACCCCGGTGGAGGCAGAGGCGATCATGCCGTACGTCCTCATCAGTACGCAGATCCGCATGGTGAGCAATGCGGGGCGCGGGCTGCCCAAAATAGGAGGCGGTGCGCGCGCGCTAACCGATGGGGTCATGAACTGGAGCTCTTTGGACCCGATGCCTAGGAAATGACGGGAGGAAAAGCAGGATACTGTGTTATTTGTGTGGAAGTGACTTTCGGGGATTGATTCTTGGGGTGGAACTGATTTCATTGCTTTGCAAAAAGTGCTGAGTTTGGGAAATGACTGCTTGACTGAAGTATGTAGACATGAAATAGATGTGTATGCCCGGTTTTATCTATTAGGCGTGCAGAAATGTGTCTGACCTTGTTTGGTCTTCTGCGCCTAGTTCTGGGCTGGTGACATTGTGCATTGTAAAGCGCCCCGGGACTTTTTGTGTTTAAACAGAACTGACCACCGTCTGGATTTTCCTCTTTTTTTCCAAGGTTGGAAGCTGCTTAGTGGTGGAGGTAACCTAGTACTACTGTTACCTGCGGATGCTGGGCAGCTGGTTCTTTCCTTGGAATGGTGTTCTAAGGTTTTATGTGTATTAGTATGAACCAGCTGTTAGCGTATTTAGACGATACCAGATTTGCCCTTAGAATGCTACAAGCTGCTTGCATTTACTTTTGAGAGGCAACCATGTAGGATAATAAGAAATGTATGTTCCATACATTACAAACATTTTGGTTTTCTCTTTAAAAAAGAAAAAAAAACTTTGATCAAAGGCCCACTCCCAGTGTGGTGGCTTTGCATGACAAGAACTAGGATCTGGTGTAAATAAATCAAGAGCAAATTAGGAGCTTAACATGAATGAGTAATATATTTATAGTGCAAATGTGCACATTCAAGATGTATTTTACATACATCTCTGTAATCTTTACAATAAGACTGACAGGCAGGACATTTTGTATTACCCATACGAGACAGATAAGAGACGGAGACTGAGATAAAGTGATTTGCCTAATACTGCTTGAGGAGTTAATGGCTAAAGGGAGTTTTGAACCAGAGATTTTTTGACTCTTAGCCAGACTGCTACCTGCTAAACAACACCGGCTCATCATGTAATCAAATGGTAGAAAGATGTTCATCCCAGTCTTTGACCACTTGTGTGCATGAACATCGAAGGAGCTGAATGTGCAGATTTAAAGGTGCTTCGTACATTCTGCTTCTTAAATTGTCAGATAGAACATAATGTGGCACATACCATTGTCAAGGGACAACTGAGCAGCTGACCTTACGCTTTGACTACCAAAGGTTTCAGTTTCAATTCTTGGTATTTTTAGTTAAAAAGGAATCAAGTAGCAAATGATGAGAAGGATCTCTCTTCAGAGATCCATTGCTGGGCAGAGTAAACCAGGAGCCCCAGTTGTGTTCCTGCAGATGCCATGCTGCTTGCAAGCACCTCCAGTGGCGCCCAGGAATGTTGCTCATAGGCAACCCAATTTTACTTTTTTTTTCATTAAGCATACCTGGATTTGTATGAAATGCACACAGCTTCCTAGCTTCAATTATGAATCAACAAAAGTGGACCAACTATTCAACTTAGTATCTTAGAGTTATTTATTTATTGAATTTATTTGAGATGTGTTAATTCCGTGAGGCAGCTAAATAATTTAAAAGCATGCGTACATCTGTTAGTATTAAAGACTGTTTTGGTACAATGCTTATTTGTGTATTAACCTCCTCCAAAAAGAAATACTACTGAATGTTGTGGAAACTTTATGTTTAAAAGAAGGTTTAGTTATATTGCTCTACTAGCAGTTAGCCAGTTTAAACTATTCCCCCCCCACACTCCTCGTTGTTGTTGTTATTACATTGCACTTGTATCCCACCTTTTTTCCTCTTGTGTGGAACCCAAGATCTATTGTATCCTCACAATAACAACTCTGCCAGCTAGGTTGGCTAAGAGTCTATGACTGGCCCAAAGTCTCCTAGTGAGCTTTATAGCCAAATGAGGACTGGAACCCCTGATCTTGCAGGTCCCCAGTCTAGCACTCTAAGCACCATGTTATACTAGCTCTCAGACTACCCCCATTAAAAAGACATTACAATGTCCAATAGACATGAAAAAAATGGTTTTGCTGAGTAAGTTGCTGCAGAAGAACCACAGCTGTGACAGATACACACTAAAGTATTTGTTTTTCGGCGCCAGGCAAAGACCTTTTTATTTAAACGTCATTTTAATTGTTAATATTATTTATTTATTTTATATCTCTGGCCAGGTCGTCTCAGTTTATATTGTTTTTATATTATGATTATTTATTTATTGTTGTGAGCCGCCCAGAGGCTTCGGCGAATGGGGCAGCATAGATGCTTCCTAAATAAATAAAGTGGAGATCCACCCATTAGGCATTTTGTGGTGGTGCGCACAGCAGTTTCTCAAATTCCCAAATGTGCCCATGGATAAAAAATGGTGGGGATCCCTGGAGTAAACAGTTTGGACTAGGGTGTGTACAAGTATGCTAATCTGGTAAAGGGCAGCTTTTGGTGTTTCAATATCCATTTACTCTTCTGTATAGCATGAAGATACACGCTCCCAGGAGCTAGACTGAGCACAGTTCCTGGCTGTGTGAGTGGACTGTGGGAAACATGCATGTCCTCCCCCATAAATTAGAACACACCTACACATTTCCTTGGAGTGAGTTGGATGCATGTAGTTGCCCAATCCCTATATTATTACATACACGAGTTGCTTCAGCACTGTGTCTTCTCTGTGCTCTGCCATGTAAAACTAAATCTTCACAAAGGCAGCTTGTGTTCTTACCCTTCCCAAAGCCAGCTTCTGTGGTCTGTAGAAATAATGCAAATTAAGCTTATCTTCAGAATTTATTTTTTCTTCATTTAGGCTGCAGTGCTAAAGGCAGGCTTATCTGCTTCAGCACCATTGCTTGCGGTGGGACTTCTGAGCCAACATGTATAAGATGCTGCTCTTCCTGCTACTTACAGGGTAGAATGAGGCTGAGCATGAAGGCCCATCCTCTGGCTGATTGAAAATAAATTGGCTGCTCCTCTAGCTTTGGATCTGGCTAGGTACTGCCCTCGCACTCCCACATGTATTTTTGCAACATAAGGGCTAGTCAATTGCTTTAAAAAATAATGTAAAATGAAAACTGTCACTTTAAAAAGCATAACTAATGCTCCAAGTGCAGGAAATTTCAAATCCAAATTATGTTGCAGGATTTGCATATTCTTGAGTATGAAGAGAAATAATCTAAGTGTCAGGGGTGTCAATAAACAACATGCAACATGATGATTACATGTCATATTCTTCCTCCTTCCCTCTCTGGAAGCCAAGAGTTCATTTCTGTGTTTACTTCTCTTCCTTCGGAGATCAAATTGAAACCAAGCACTAGAACACTGTAAATGGATTTGTGTGATATAAAGTCTTCCCTAAATCAGGCAAGATTGTAACTTGTTTAAATATGAACATACACTCTTGTTTTTTTCCAGTGTTTCTAAACTACAGTGCTGCTAAACTGGGTTTATTGTTTTCTTCCAGCAATGCCTTGGCTAGGTACATGGCCTTCGCTGCTCCTTGAATGTTTGTTTCTGTGACATGAGTATAAGTGTGCCTCTGCTCATTATTCCTTAGAGCAAATATGCAAACTGAAAACATTATAGAGTTTCTCCCTCCCCACCCCAGTTGTACTAACAGTCTTAGATTAAATCTAAATCATATTAGTGTCTTATTTATTAGCCACAGAAAAATTCTTTAATCCAATGATAGCCCTATTTAAAATACACTGCGATGTGGCATGTACCATACAGAGACCTGGAGGACAAAGCTAAAACTTGCTTGAGCAGAGTAAATGAAAGCAAGAGGGAGTCATCTGCATATCACAGAAGAACTTTAAAAAAAACTTAAATTGGATGTTTAAGCATGTTTGCAACCCACTTGTTTCACCATGCACTGTAACACTGCTTGTGTTTTTTGGTCAAAATCACTGGAACTTTTTCACATAGGACTGTCATGCCATCATGATAGTCCTTCTTTGCAGTTTCTGTGCTTTCTTTTCTACATTTCTTTTCTCACATTTCATAAAGAAGCAGCTTGATATGCTTGGTTGGCTGGCATGATCCCCTCTATACCAGACCTGCACCAGGAGATGGTGAGACTGTGCTAAATTATCCCTCTGTTTCACCATCACATCTGCACTGGGCACAATCCTATGCAAGTTTAGACAGAAAAAAAGCCCTATAACTCCCAGCATGCCCCATTAGTCTGTGTACACATACGAACAACTGTGCCCTAATATGCCCAACTCCAGATATTCTGATTGAACTACAACTCCTCTCCAGATAGCATGGCTACTAGACTTACTGGCGGGCGTGGGGGGTAGCAGTAGTTCAACACATCTGTAGGGCATAAGGTTTGGGAAGGCTGCCCTGCAGTGAAGAGAAGGACAGCGGAAGTTAGGATCCAAAACAGAACAGTAAACATGTATATTATTTAAGTGTGTGCTTAGAAACAAGAAGCTGAACTAGCTTTAGTTGCAGCTAAAGTCACTAGCCTCTTCTTTTACTCACCTGTCTGCACACAACTCACCACCATAAGTTGTGCTTATAACCTCAGCAGTCTGTAAGAAAATAAATCCTTCCACTTCTTTTACACTGTACAAAAGTAGTTGCTTGGAGTCACTTTCTGCTAATCACAAGGAAGCAGCCATTTCCAGCCTAAAACCCCCATTTGAATCCTTGCGGAATCCCTCACTGTAGCACCAGAGGTGGCTCGAGGATGTGGCATAGGAGGGCTGGAGTTGCAAATGTTTCATTTTGCCCTGCTTTTCAGGGTTCTTGCTGAATAAAGGTACAGGATCCTTGATGATCTCTAGTGCACCTAGTTCTCTTGGAAGCCCACATCTCCCCTTGCTGCCTCCCTTAAATCTTTCTGCCTGATGGTGGTTTGAAAAAAATCAAATGACTTCCCCTCCTCTGCCCATGCATTGTTTTTCATGCATCTGTGTGCTCTTGGTGTTGGGGGTGCTTTAAAGATAAACACATGCTCGTTTAGAACATATGCAAAATAGTGTTGCAGATTTTTACTTTTTGGCATCTAGCACTGCCCCTACAGAGCATCCAAGAAGATTGTTTTGCAGTCACAAAGTTGCTGCAGAGATTTTGTGAAGCAGCAGTATGGCCACTGTCCTCACGTTCAAGCCATTTGTCAGAGTGGGATGGCTACATCCCTTGGATGTCTTAAGGAGGCGGCACTGTGCTGCTTGACCCAACTGGGCTCCAGGAGAGACAATTAATTTATGTTCCTCTGTAACTGCCATTTCTCACCTGGAGTGTTTCCAGCCCAGGCTTTTATGTGATCACCAGTGATCACCGGTGCACTGATACATTTTGAAGGGCAAGTACTCATCAGGACCATTCCCACAACTGTGCTTCCAAGGAGAGGCCAAAGTGCTGGCCGCTCTGCTGATCCCTAACAACAAGCCAGTTGTAGTAGTTGTACATCTCCAGGAGCGGGTCTTTTGTAAAGTGCAGGGTCTGAATTGCCCATTCAAGACCAAGCCCTCTAGAATACTTTTCATTACCACTGGGATAGTTGGCAAGTATCTGTACAGCTGCTTCTGAAATTCCCCTGCCGACATGCACCCTTAAACAGCTATCTGTAACTCTATGGCAGTGGCTCCCAACCTTTTCTATGTCGCCCACCCCTAAAAAAGGATTGATTTAGGTTAGCACCCACTTCAAATGTATTATTTCATTTGAAGATTAAGAAGTCGATTTTCTAATTTTTGAACCATATACAGTACTGCGGGTGAACAAATTGAATTTTATCTCAGTGCATAAAATTCTATTTAAAAATCAGCACATAAAATTCATTTTTGGCAAATCATGATGCAGCCTTCCTCTTTGTCATACCCCTGAAATGCCATCTCATGCCCCCTGGGAATGCTGGCACCCCAGGTTGGGAACCTGCTCTATAGCAATAGATGCTTTGGTAATCTCCGAAGTCCCTTCTTCAGCCTGTAGGAGGAGGTGTTGCTGAGGTTTGAATTCCAGGTGCCTGTCTGAGTTTGACAGTCTAAGATGCAATTCTGTGCGCATGTAGACAACTCCCAGCATGACCCAACCACTGATGCTGGCAACTCGCAGCAGAATTGTAGTACTACTACTACTATTATTATTATCACTACATTTTTATCCTGCCTTTTTAATCTTCCAAGATGCCCAATCCTGATCTCCATTTTCTCCTCTCCACAACCACCCTGTGAGGTAGGTTAGGCTGTGAGTCAGTGACTGGCCTGGGAAGACCCATTGAACTTACCTGCCTTATGCAAATCTTTGGTGCAGCCACACTTGGAAAATTGTGTTCAGTTCTGGTTGCCTTGCCTGAAAAAGGACATTATTGAGTTGGAAAAAAATAGAGAAAAGGGCAACATATAATGTTTGGAGGCCAGAATAGCTCCCCTATGAGGGGTGGCTACAACAACTGGGATTGTTTAGCTTAGAGAAAAGGCAAGTAAGGGGGCACATGATAGAGGTGTTTAAAATAATGCAAGAATGTGGAGAAAGTGGAGAGGGAGCCATTTTGCTACCTTTCTTGTAACACCCAAACCAAAAGCTGTCCCATGAAGCTGATTGGTGAGAGGTTTAGGACAGATAAAAGGAAGTACTTCCTCACACAGTGTATAGTTGAACTATGAAGTTTGTGGCCACAGGAAGTGGTGTTGGCTGCCAATCTGGATGGCTTTAAAAAGGAACTGGGCAGATTCATGAGGGAGGAGGCTATCTGTGGCTACTAGCCTTGCTGGCTCTGTGCTGCCTCATTTGCCAGAGGCAGCATGCTTGCATACCCCAGTTGCTGAGGAGCTTGGGCAGGAGGAGGTCTTGCACCCATCCAGCTTGAAGGATCCTGCGGGCAGCTGGCTTCCCACCACGTATACAGAGTGCTAGACCAGATGAACCTTTGGTCTGATGCAGCACGGCTTTTCTTGCATTCATAAGCGTCACAGCTGAGTTGGGACTAGAACCCTGATCTCCTGAGTCTGAGTCCAACACTCTAGGCTCTTCTTCTGTTAAAATTCATGTTTTAACCATAGGGGCTAACTATGATACTAATCTAACTTTAGATTCAAGGATATTTAGGAAGAAACAAAAACACTTGAAGATATGTTCTTTAGATTTTTGAATAGTGATGTAATGGATGCAGAATATAAACAAAAGAAAGCTTCTCCCCTTCCCTGTGGTCTTTTGGTTCCATGAAGAGGCCAGGGGATGCTTGATGGGACTCCAAAGTTGCCTGCATGAGTGACATGTCAATGCTTCTCCCCTGGCCACTTACAAAAGACCACACCTCTGGCCATGGACTTTATACAGTTCCTCTCTCCCACTATTCAAGGGTCTGTCATTGTGCACAGAAGTTTCTACCCCTTTTTCCTCAGAACAAAGCTGTTTTGGTAAGCCTCATTCCCATAGCAAAGGTGGCTCTTACCTTTAGAATGATTGGGGAAAGCAACTTTGAAGTAATTAAGGTAATGGTGCTGGACCTTTCTCTCCACAGGAAGTGGGGCCTACCATGGTTGGTGATGAACATTCTGATCCAAACTTGATGCACTATCTAGGGGCCACTAAAAGAAACATGCTGGGGAATCATTTGTAAGTATTTCTGCAGGCTTTTTGTTTCTCCCCTCTTCACCTTTCTTCATCCCCTTTCTCTGTTCTTCATTCCTATGATCTCTGACCAATCATAGTTTGTGGAATCTGTGACCTGAGGGCCTAATCTGTCCCACAGAGCCTTGTGCCACCTTAATGGGTTCTACCCACTTTGTACATCAAGCCCTCCAGAAGCCCCACCTCTGCCAGGGTTGGGGACAAGTAGGAGAGAGAAATCCTTGCTATTGTCTGTAATCAGAGAGACATCACTCAGTGAAGTTGAGCTGGCCAAGTCTCCTTTGCTCCTCTGATTTTTGGCTGTCTCAGCTGTCCCTACCATTGGGGGGAGGGGGAGGGGACAGGACAGGACAGGAGAAGCTGGGCAGGCCAAGTCCCTTTTACTCCTCCATTAGGAGAACAAAGAGGACTCAGGCAGCTTAGCTGTACTCTGTGGGGCTTCCCTAAGCTGGAAAGCCCATGCACAGCAAGACCTGACCAGTGGCCCAAGTTCAACCAGGGAGCAAATGATCTCAAAAGGGTTGCAACTGTCGCAGGTGCTATAGTGTTGCAGGCATAACATTCACATAACCTATCAAATGGCATTTTTTCAGTCCCTAAATTGAGTGCAGAACCTCAGGATTGGGGACCAAATCATGCCCCTTCCCTTTTCCCAACCACCAACTCTTTGATGGTTTCCCAGATGCTGTGCAATTTCTTCCCCATTCTGAAAGGTCGGAATGCCTCTCCTAAGGCTTTGTTATTGGCAGTAAGAGGTTTAAGATACAATATGCCAGCATCTTCAGCATTTCATAGAATCAGAACAGTAGAGTTGGGCCAAGAAAGCTTTCAAGTCCAACCCCCTGCTAGTGCAGGACTCCAATCTACACCATCCCCCTGATGACTGTTCAGTTGCATCTTGAATGTTTCTAGTGTTGGGGAGCCCACAGCCTCCCTAGGTAATTCATTCAGTTGTCATACTGCTCTAACAGTGAGGAAATTTTTCCTGAAACAGCTGGAATTTGGTTTCCGGTAGCTTAAGTCCATTATTTCAAGTCCTGCACTCTAGGATGATCAAGAAGAGAACCTGTCCTCCTTCTTTGTGACGGCCTTTCAGGTATTTGTAGAGTGTTAACACATCACTACTCAAACGTCTCTTCTTGAGGCTGAACATGCCCAGTTCTCTCAATCTCTCCTCACAGGACTTTGTTTTCAGAGCTGGGTCATTCATCCCTGTTGCCTTCCTCCGACCCCTTTCCAGCTTGTCTGCATCTTTCTTAAACTGTGGTGCCCAGAACTGGACACAGTACTCCAGATGAGATTGGATTAGTGCTGAGTAGAGATGAACTAGTACTTCATGTGGAAGTGATCCTTCTATTAATGCTGCCTAAAATAGCATTTGACCTTTTTGCAGCTACATCACATGGTTGGCCCACATTTAGCTTGTGATGTACAACAATTCCAAGAACTTTCTCATTTGCAGTATTGTTGAGCCAAATATTTTAGGCCTGCCCCTTTAGCCTTTGGCCATGCCTGTAACTGGAATGCAGCCCTTGAGAGCTTTTCTGAAAGAAACTATCTCTTAGATTGAAACACTTCCTCATTACCATTCCAACTTCTCCTCCTGCCAAGTGAAAGTGTTGCCTTCCCTCCTCATCCCAGTTTTCTGCTTGCTGTTTCTCCAACATCCTTTGAGTATGACAGAGATAGAGATTGTTGGAAATTTGTATAAGCATATATCAGCTCACATTTTAGGGTGGGAAACAAAATCCTAATCAAGTTGGATAACATTTGCCTTTTAAAACTTATGTTAATAAAGCCAACACGATAACTAGACACTGTTTTTAGGAGGATGAAATTTATTTGCCTTCTACTTATAATTTTAAAATTAAAATTAAATTTTACGGGCCTTGGGCTCATGGTTTTCAGTATGACCTTTATTATTTCATAACTATCAAGAAGGATATACAATTAGTTGACCAGATGCTTCAGAATTGAAGACGGAAATTAGATAGTATAATTTATATATAATTCCGGTGAGCATTCACCTCACAAGTATAGAGATGACAAACAGGCTAGCAAGACAAGTACTAGCTTATCACTCATTTCCAGCAGAGGCAAGGTGCTTAGGGTGACTATGTTTGACCTGCTTTATAGAGGACATACCTCTCTGAAGGGTCATCAGAGAGCAGACATCTGCTTGAAGGGTTGTCCAATCCAAGTCCAGTTTAAATAGAAGAGACCATAAGGAGGATAAGCGGGGGACTTTAAGTTGTTTAGAACTGTGGTTTTCAACCTTTCCACAGCTGGAGACATTGAAAACAGGAGAACCACCTTGACTGCTGAGGCAGAAACAAAAAGCACCATAGACATAATACAGTATTCTGTGTATTAGTTTCCAAATACAATGCCAAAAAAATGAAAATTCTCCAAAACAACCAGAAACTGAGCAACAAAAAATGGCAACAAAAGAACAAAATACCAAAATCAGTGTGGTGTGGCTCCCAGCCAACTTCCACCGAGCCGTCTCTACCCTCTCAGGCCCTCCTGGCGGCACCAGTACACCCCTGCAAACACAATGCCAACTGAGGAAGAGGTGATGGAGCACAGCCAAGCCCCACATCGGTCCGTGGCGAGCAGGATGTGGTCATTTCACAGACCAGCTGGAAATCTCCCATGGACTGGTGGTTGAAGGCCACTGGTTTAGAACATTCGAACCTGGAAACAGACCAAGCAAACACAAATGCCACTTGGGCAGTTTTCCACACTATGTTGAGATGGGCTACCTTTCTATTGAAATTATAGTTAATTATTTCTTTGTATCATATATATACCTTGGCATTATGTACAACTTATGCAAAATTGTGTTCTCTTTTTTGTTGACATGGAAGCAATTACCCTAGGAAAAGTTTTGGTGTGTGAGAAGATTCTACTTGAGAACTTCCATTGGAACTTGTGGGTAGAAATATCACTCACTTGTGTCAGCTATTTTTGTACTTGTCTTGAGTCAATATGTCTTTAAATATTTCCCAGTTCTAATTCTTACCTTGCCCATTTCCAGGATGGAAGGTTTAGTAGTGGATGAATGTTTTTTCTTCTTTTATTGTGACAAGAAGCTGTTTAACTGCCTCCCTTTTGCAACAAGATGAGGTGGCTGCAAATTAGAACAACAAAATAGCCTCTTTGGAATGTTGCACTTCAGTTGGCCTTGTTGTGGTTGCAAAGTGCTGCATTCCAAAATGATTAGCAAAAAGGGATCACTTCAGGGACTAAACCATAAGTATGAACACAACAAAGCTCTACAAAATAATTGAGGCAGAAATTGAATCATATACAAGGACAGATTTTGGTCTTGTGCAGTTATGACAACCTCCAAGTTACAGATGTACTCATAACAGATCTTCCGTAACACATCAAACTGTTCTAAATTAGTTGCTTATAGCTATGCTAAATCTTTGTTCCTACCTAGTTGCAAGACCAGATGTGTCACGGTCAAATGGACAATCTCCTGTTCAATAAAATGTTGCTTTTAAAGGTGCAAATGGGATCATCTGAGTCTTCAAGTAAGGGGAGGTGACAGCTAAAAGGAAAAAAAAAAGTGTCCATTCGAAAGTAAGCCCTTTTGAATTCAGTAGGACTTACTGCCAGGAAAGTATATGTAAGACTGCAGTCCTGTAATACCCCTTTTAATCATCTGTGTCCAAGCAGCACCAAGAATGTATTTGTAGATTGATTATTTCTGGCATAAATAAAGCCATGTAAGCATGTTTATTTGCTTATTTATCTGCAATGAATAAATAAAGGCTTACAGTTGAACTGTGTAACTTACATGAATACTTTAATGTAATGCCCAAGACTGACATGTTAATCATGTCCATGATCTCATGTGAACCTCAAGTAGTAGGATCCAATATTGATTGGTTAGAAATGTAGAACCCATTTACTATATTATCAAGTTTGCACTGGAGGGTCCTTTCTTCTTCCTGCGTGGTAAGAAATTTAAGATATGATTGATGGTTCATGGTGTACATATATGGCCAGGGGCAAGCACATTGCAGATTAAAAAAAAATAAAAATCAAACTTAGCTATTTCCTTGAAACACAGGAGGACTGGTTAATTCTCCTGTGGAACAAAAGTGTTCCTTCACTATCTCTGCACCTCTTTCATATAAATTTGGGGGAATTCAGCTACTGAAGTAGATCTTATATCCTCTAGGGTACCCAAAATTCAGGGTTGCAAAACCCTGAGAATCATGGCCCTGATCCACACCACTAAATCTGCTTCTACCACCTCCTTTCACTTACTTCCTAATTTTACATCTTTTGCCATTCACATTTCACCCTTCAACAGGTTTCCCCAGCCTTGTGGACACTATTGATAGGATATTTTTTAGAAACTGTACACCCTCTCATTGTTTCTGCATCTTGTTTACAACAGCTGGGAATACTATGTGCATGATGCTCCCCGGATTGTCCTGGACAAGCTGGAGAAGTGTGGCTACCGCGTGATCAGCATGACAGGAGTGGGGCAGACACTGGTATGGTGCCTCCACAAAGAAAGTACAGAGAACTCCAACTTTCTGCCTGCCCAAGATATTGCTGTAAATCGGACGACATAGGCCTGGTGTTGTTTTTACAATATAATGTTCATTTTTTGGCATTCCAAATGAAGACCATGTCAAAACCCTACAGTACAAAGCATAGCCACCACTACAAGATCATTATAGGAAGGGGGTGTCCTACTTAGCTTCAGCAGCTGGGGTTTCTAAGTTCCTAAATAAATGAATCTTGAGCATTAATTTGAATGCCAGTCCAGAACTGCCAGTCTTAAAGTATTACCGCCATGTCTTACTGTTGATAACTGGCATTATATCCACTGGGTAACAGTCCTAAGCCAAACAGAGGTGGGGGAAAATTCAAACTTAAGATTTTGATACTTTGGAAAGAAGAAAAGGTTGCCATGGAACCAGTTGGCCACTGTTAAGAACTCAATGCACTGTGCATTCAAATAAAGCTGTTCTCATTCAAAAGTGAGACTATGAATGGAGTCCTGAAGGTGATATGTTTTTTTTTTCAGTTCTTCCTTGTGTATACTGCAAACTTACCATCATGTAAATATCTCAGCATTCATTTTGTAATTGTGTCAGTTGCCCTTTCATTGCTGGAATTATTTGGAACTGTGTGTAGTTGTACTGATACATTCCTAAAGTAGCTGACAAAATAAAAAATAAGAAAATGTCTCTGGGAAACTGTTATTGGGTGCTTTAAAAATGCAGTAAGGAAATAGTTTAATTTTGTTGAAATACCAGTTGACAAGTACTTTAACTTGAGAGCAAAACCTTGAGCAAAATAATGATGCAGCTGCAGCTGGATGTATTACCTAGGTATAGGATATCTAGAAAACCATTGCACTGTCCCGTTTGGATCAACTGTTCTCGTACAGCCTTTCCTTCCCAAACCTGTACAGAGCAGTTTCACGTACTACTGATTTAGAACTGAAACAGGAATGCTGAACCATGTTGTGGCATGTACCTTCTGTTAAACTCCTCTTAACAAATAAGAACACACTATTCTTTCATGCACCATAATTCCATCTTTTTTAGTTAATACTATAATCCTGTGTGCCCTTAACCAACAGGCAAGTGGCACTGAACACAGTGCAGCTTACTTCTGAGTAAATGAATAGAGTATTGCACTTTAAGTCTCTCTTTCAAGGCTACTTTCTGAAATCCCCTTTAACCCAAGGGGCTTCGGGAAGTAACTTGGCACATTTATACATAAGGTGTTGGAGTAAAGAGACTGCGTATAAACATGGTAAGGTATGAAAGTTATATTCATCAGTGGAATTGCCACAGAGAAGAGGCATTTTCTTGCAGTTTCCATATTACTGGAATTGTGTGTTGCGAACAGGCAGAACATATGGCTTCTTTCAAGATAACAGGTTTGATGCTGTGGGATCAGTTGCTGATATGTAACCTCAACAGTATATCAAGATTCTTTGATTAGATGCCCACTACATGTATGTCTTTGATCAAAGCAGTCAGATTATTTTTCAAAGAAAACTAAAGCTGTTATTAGAAAGGATATTTATTGACTTAATTTAAGATGTAAAAGCACAAGATCATGCCAATTCTACTACTACTACGTGCAAGTCTCCTCCTCATCTTCCCGTTTCATCTGCTCAATTAGTTTCTGTCTCTCAGCAGCTTGGCGCATCCGCATCATGACAAGGCTTTCATAATCCCTCTCAGAGACAACTGAACCCTGTGGAAAGATAGACAGCAAATGAGAATTAGTGAAATCCTAGTGTTCTCAAGAAGCTGTGGAGCTATTTAAAGAAAAAAATACCCACCACAATGGCACAAGGAAAGAATACATCTCAATATTTAGAAATGCAGATTCAATGAGTAGGACTGTTGTCAGTTACTAAGTGCTAATCAAAATGGTATTTCCCATGATACTTTTCTTTGCATCTCCTGTTGGGTTCAAAGAGTTAATAGCTGAAATTTCTCAAGAACACAAACATGCAGAACAAATATTGCATAGTAGGCATCTACTGTTTATTAAGACAGGAGCTCTGCATTTGTTGTAAAGTGCATTTACAACACTTACATTGACATTTACATGTACCAACTTAGAATAATTAACTGTACATTAAAAGGTGGGCTGGAATAGCCATAAATATTATACAAAAATCAAGAAACCATATTTTGTCAAGTAATCTTGATGTCAGGAAAAAATTGACCTAGACTGTTGCATTCTAAAGCCTTTATGCAGCACATTTTATATTACTTTTTCTACAAAGATCAAAGCTGTTTGAGAACAGTGAAGTATGTTAGAAGCATAGCTGTGTTTCTGATACTATGGGTAGTAGTCCATTGCACCCATGCTCTTGCCAGACTATCTAAATGGGTCCCCCACTCCTGTAGGAGCAATGTAATACCATGGGTTCAAATCTTACCAAGAAATGGTCTAACCATAACAGTGAGGTTACTTGGGTTCTCCCATGCTCAAATTTTCATATTCTTCATCTCACAGTTTGGAGCACAAACCAAACTGAGGATATGTCTCTCCTTACGTTAGGTGGACAACAAACAGACAACTCCATGGTTGTCATGGAAACAATGGAGTCCCAAGTCAGGGCTCCAGAGGCAGCCTCAGCATGAAAATTAATGTCATCCAGAACCATTGCCCTGGGTTCCTCCAGCCCACATTGGAGACCTCCGTCAACTTCTGGGCAGCAGATTGGGCAGCATAAGCAGCAGCATCTTCCATCCAACTCTATAGCCCAAAACCAGGTGCAACCCTTCAATGCTTGCTTCAAGGATGAGTAGTTTGCTGGTGAGAGAGCTGGGAGTTCTATAAACCATGCTGATTCCCCCATGCCCTTGGTCCCCCAGCCTATGTTGGTGCTATACCAAGTACCAGGTGAACAGAGCTGAGTCAGGTCAGCTCCACCCAGATCACCTACCTACGTGTCAGTAATACACACTAGATCAGCCTTCTCATCCATGCTTAAATCACGAATGAGTGTGATCTTACTGCAGGCCAACTTACATTAAATAGCAATACTGAAAAAGAGAAATGGAAGTGATCCGATCTTCCTGTAGTAAATCTAAAGCGATAGTTAATATTTTGATATTGGAGCAATTAAAATTGCATTACAATTTCCCAATCTTAGTGTGGAAATACGTTTGCCATTTCTATTTTCATTCCCCCTGGCTTCAAGGAGTCCAGGTCTGTGTATGCAGGGACTCCTGCATACCCATTTCATTATCATAACATTGATCCACCTTGGTTCATGATGGCTGACAATTGTAATTTAAGACTAATTTCTATAGATGTCTGATGGGAATTAAAAATGATGCTAAGAAAGTACACTTTTAGAAAGAGGCAGACATCCAGATCCAACATAATGTTATAAGTAGCAACTCAATGAACCATGACTGAATCCAGTTTTCTTCAGCCTTTTCTTACCATGAGAAAGATGATGAAATAATGTTCAATGGGCATGTCAGCTGTATTTAAGCAACAGCATTCCAAGTATGTATGTTCCAATGATAACACCCAAAATGTCTTTGGAATGCCTTCCAAAGAAGACAAAATTGTTTTCTTGAGTGGGTGGGTAATTAAAATGTTTCTGTTTGTTGAAGCATTTAAATGTTTTAAAAATTTAAATGCAATTAATTTTTAAACCAAGTAATTGCTTTCATTCAGTTTCTTGGTTGATGAACTGTTGTTCTAATGTCCTTTAATGTGCAACTGTATGGTTTTTTACTGGATTTGGTTGCTTTAATGTTGAGTGAGTTCCCTTGTGGATGAAAGGCACTTTTATTAATTTAAGAAAGGCAGGCAGGCCGGCCTTCTTGTAATGTTGCTATATTCTTGTATGTGAGTCATGAATACTAGAGTTCTATGTCTCGTCACCTGCCACTTCTGGTTTGCAAGTTATGTGAGGAAAATCAATTTCCAAGCAAAGGGATTACAGAAGTCTTTCACAGCTGGGGCTTGGTAGACAGAACTGAGCCTTACTAGGTACTATTCTACTTCCTTATTGCTCCCTCCACCTGCTCTGAAGAGTTATATTAATGAAAGTGTTTAAAATATTCCATGGAAGCCCTGTATTTTTCTGAAGCATTGTATGTGGGCTGATGCATCACAGTACTACACACCTATTTCCTGCAACCTGTGTATTAACTAACAGTGTGAATCTCAGTTTCTGATGGGACTGAGTCAGCAAGGGCTTGGCCCAGAACACACACAAAGGAATTGCCACCTGCTAAACATATGAGTGGCTGAGTGAGAAGAGTGGAAAGCAACACTGAAGCACAGGTGCTCTAGGGGAAGAGAGCTGAAAAACAACACAGGACTTTTAAGCAATGCCAAGGTAGGAAGCCCTCTGACACTGGGGTACTGCATATTGTGCTGGGTGGACTTCTTCCACAGTTCCACTTTCGGATGCCTCCCTGTTGCTCCACCTCACAGTAAGTATTAACCCTAAATGTCATTGTATATAATGTTAAGCTCTACAACCACTAGAGTTTCTTTTTGCTGATGGGTAAAACTAACAATGAGGGCTGATAGAAGATTGAAGGGGACTGTGGAAGATTGAATATATTTAATATATTGATGCTGTTTTGCAGTCTAGTATGAGTTCACACAGTGGCATGACTACATTCACCTTCAGACACCCTTAATGGGTCAGCCCACTCTGGAAGTCAGGCCCCATCATTTCTTTCTCTCGTAAAGATGTCTAAAGCAGAAGTAAGCAGCCAGGCAATCTCCAGATAGTTTGAACTTCAACTCCCCATACCCCTGGCCATTGAGCATGCTGACAGGGCCTTCTGGGAGTTGAAGCTCCAATCAACTCGAGCTCTACTATCTGTCTAATCCTGGCCAAAGTAAGGAACAGAAACTTTTAGATGGCAGGCCACAGGTAGGACTCAGTGAAATGAGTTAGTTTTGTATATACTTTTAAACTGCAAGGCTACTGTTTACAATCTGTATTAGAAGGACAAGACAGACACCTGGCAAGAACTGATGAATGGAAATGGGGTAGAGAAAGTCAGAAAGAATCAGGTATGTTGATCAACTGTAAGACTGGACTAGGGAATTTGGTTTTAACGACAGATCTGAAGAAAGGAAAGTGTGCTGATGATGTCTTTTTGCAGCATAAGGAGCAGCAAGATGGAAAATGGTATGGGGTCGTGGGATGGCATGTCAAAAAGCTATGAAAGATATTGTATAAATGAGGACTACCCAGAAGGAGAATTACAGGAGGATAGAGTAGGGCAAAAGTATTCTAAAGGGATCAAGAAATAGACTGTGAAGCAACAGAAAAGCAGGACTGCAGATACAGCATAGAAAGAGGAGCAGTCAGTAAGTCAGTCTCAGAGATTACCATATCAGTTACCCCTGCAATTAAAACAGAGCCCTACAGTTGAACAGGCTGAACTATATCCAGGCATTAGCAGTGGAGTCACTCTAAGAACTAAGGCTTTGCATAAGCATAGGAGGGGAGTAAGAGGGGGAAGGTCCATCCTGTGCACAATCACAGTCAACTGGGAGGATTGAGCCACAGATCTCTCCGCTGCAGATACTTTTGACAGGGATTATACCTTCCAGCTATTTAGGACTACAGTTCCCAGCATTCCTGACTATTAAGAGTTAAAGTCCAAAGCATTTGAAGGATACCAGGTGGAGGAAGGCTTCCCCAAAATGTTATGACTGCTTTAAAATCACACTACTTAATATATTTCTGTATGTTCCTTCTGAACATTTGGATTTCAAATGCCAATGCTTTAAAATCTTAACAGCTCAAATAGTTTTGCAATCCTAGCACACTTTCTGGGCTGGGAAGATTGGTATGGAAGGCATTTTGGGTGCAGTTTCTTCAGTGCAGCTTATAGGTAAGAGTATGTCTTTTGGAGATGCTGGGTTGTTTATTTGTTTGTTTATTTTCTCTTCCAGGAACTAGAGGAAAGTAAAGGAAGAAAGAAACCTCACTGTGTCAGCTTGTGGCCAAGGCCTCTGGCCTCCACTGTGCCATTTCCAACTACCAGCCTTTTCCTGCTTTCCTTGCCATGGACACTTGGCGCAGAGGGGACATCTGGCGTAGAGGATCCATCAGATCCTCTGGTTTCTTCAAGCGTCTCTCATTCAGAAGGCAAAAGAAGTTGGGCAACCAAGTCATCATCCTGAATCAGAACAGTCAAACACTAGACACCAATGGACAATACAACAAACAGGAGCTGCTAAGAGACTTGAAAGGGAAATCAGATTATTTATCATGTCAGAGTGAGCAAAACCTGGCCACCAAGCCACAGCCACCACCTAAGCCACCTCGGCTGTATCTGGACAGTGCCAGCTGCCCTAACATAATCAACCACACGAATTCTTCCTCTACAGACATTTGCTTTCCAAGTACTTCCCGCCATTCCCATAAGGCTACTCAAACACCACTGGACCTAGTTTGTAAGGAGGAAGCATTGGACTGGTGGTCCTCTGAAACCACCACCCAGCATGGTAAGCTTCTTCCTGACCCATCAGACCCCTTCCTTTCCTTCACACTGGACCTGGGACCTTCACTCCTTGAAGATATTCTGCAGACTCTCAGAAAACAGAATTTACAACTAAATTTCTAGCTTAAACAGAGGAATGAAACATACTGGCTCTTCCTCACTGGTACACATCCCAAGCTGCATCTTGTCCTTTCTCGCCAGGCTGCTGTAGTACACTAGCAGATGAGTGTACCACCTGTTGGAAACTAATACCACTTTCATTCTTCTAACTTTTCTAAGAGTTGCCCTGCTCCAAATTCTGATGAGCAGGCAAGATGCTTGGTTAATTTGGGCCATAAAGGAATTTCTATGTGCAATATGTGCAAAAGAGTGGGGTCTGTATGATGCTACATGAGATACAATAGAAGGAACATGTGTGTTAGTCTGGATCATACTGCAACTGCCTAAGTTATCTAGTATCCCAAAACCAATGCTGCTACACATGAAACTACTTAAGATACAGAGCTTTGAACTATGCTTAAGTATACATTATATGAAGATTATCTTCCTTTGTGTCAGCATATATTTCCCTCATTAATTCTAACTAATGGGTATATTTAAAATGTTGGAAAGCTATACTGTAAAGCAATTGTTGTTTCTATTAATATTCATCATGAGGGAAAGGAGCTATATTACAACTGCTTCTGCAACATCTTATGAACAAACCACTGTAAAATGTGAAGAGAATATCAATTTTAGTTCTTATTAAAAGTATTTACTATATATTCTTTGCATTTCCTGTAATTTTGATTGGCAAACATTCACCTAACACAGTGTGACTGGAGAAGCTCGCATTACGGCTGCTGGAAGAGCACAAAAGGTCATTGAGGAAGCCTTGCAGTCAGTGCTCTGCACCACAGAACCAGAAGACCAAACCCACAGCGCAGCAACCAAAGATCCTCCTGTGTTTGCGCAACATCTCGTCTGTCCTTTCTGTTGCCACAGAACATCAATTAAGCAGAAAAAGGTTGTTTGGTTGGTAGTGCGAGGAGCCCTCTGTCTGGAAGCAACTTTACAACGGCATTATTTGCATGTAGCACAGGCACAGGCAACCTTTTCTCTGTGGAGGGCTACATTCAGGAGCTGGCCAAAGCTAGCAATGGGCACAGCCAGAACCCCAAACAGATGGATCTCCTATTTATTTTTCCTTTCTTCCAACACTTTCTCTCTCTCTCCATTCTTCCTGCCCAGGGGGATGCCATCAAATGCACTGGCAAGAGATCTGCACTAATTATATGTAGAGAACTTCTGAAATTAGGCTGAGGGCCACAGGCAGCCCTAGAGCCACAAGCTGCCCTTCTCTGATACAGAGAGATTTCCAGACATACATCCTTGCTTACTATCACAAGTGTGCTTAAGTTGCCTGCTTTTATTCTGGAGCATGAGCAGCCAAGGGGCTCCATTTGAGACTTGGACTGGTTTTCTATTAAAAATTACCTCAGTTTTCACTGCTACTTGCTCCCAATGATGCTACTTGTAGTGAAGAGCACTTGTGGGGGCAAAATGCAAGCAGGAGGGAATTTTCAGACAAAAACCAATACAAGACCTTGATCTAAGTTGGGAACACTTCAGATCAGGGTCTGGCAGCCTCCTTTTTCTCCAGAATAAGAGCATTTGGCTTAAGTATGTTTGTTTAAACATGTGACAAATGTCAGGTAGTTTGGCCTCCAGTAGAGCTAAAGTTTGCATTGAATGCTGAACTCCACCCACTTCTGCATACCTGTGCCATCAAGATAAAACTGAAGTATGCCCAAACCTCCTAATTAACCAGGGACACTTCCCTTTGCTTCGGCTTCTGGCTGAACATTATGAGTGAATGTAAGATTTATTTATTTCCTCAGGTTAATTTCATGAGTGAAGAGCCTTTCAGAAATGCAAGGCATCCTATACTCCACAGCAGGGAGAGACAAGCTCCAGGTGTTTTGGTCAGAAACTGGCACAACTCCTGATCACCGGCCATGTTTATGGAAGTTGTAATCCAAGACATCTACGGGACAGTGCGTTGCCTACTCTTGCCATTGAACAAAGTACAGCAGCATGACTTCTCAACTAGCTTGTAGGTGATTCCCACTCTAGTCAAAATGACAGCAATTTTGTCCAGTTGCCAATGCCAAGAGAGTGGCTATCACTAACCACAATCAGCAATGATGCCTGCTTAATCTGATTATGTTGTAGTAAATGATCCTCACCCTAACAGACACAAAAAAATGAATGTCCTCCATTGCATATCTCAAGAAGCATGCCAACAAACAGGTTAGTTGGCACACAGGATGTTTCTTTCTAGATGCATCAGGATGACAAAACAGGAGACATTCTTTTTTATTAGCAGAATGGTGGAACACTGCTGCACTGGGGGGAAATCTGTGGTGGATCCATTACCACGTGTAGAAAACTCCCAATTCCAGCAGATAAAGAGCCAGAAGTGGAGCAGCTTTTTACCTCTTTGGTTTCTTTGTCTAAAGTTTAAAAAACCCTTCGTTTTAAAGGAATTAATTATACTAGCTGCAGGTCTTGCAGTTTGGGGGCCTGGAAAGGATGCACTGGGGAAAGGGGGAGCTTAACTGGCAGATCCACAGCCCCCCAACATGAGCCCAGAATGCCCAAATCTGTCCCCATCCCCACATCTGTCAACACATTGGGAAGGGCTGGAAACTATGGCCTCTCAGGAAGCAGAGGAGCTTAGAAGATTTCAAGAGTAGGGCAGCTTTATAGCTATGAACTGGAATGCTTGCAGGCATATGCAGTGACATGAACAGGATTAAAAAACCAAAAGAACCCAAAGGCAGATGGAAGTTTTGTGATTACCACCAAAGTATACTAGAACTCTTGCAAGCTTTTAAGGCTACAGATAAGGAAACAATCTGAGATGGATACTAAACTATAAAGATATAATCAAGAGATTTGGCTTTAAAAGACTATGGAGAAAGGGATTAGTGGAAAGGAGAAAGAGAAGATCAGATTATAAGCATGTAGAGCAGGGGTCTCAAATTCGCGGCCCACGGGCCAATTGCCGGGACAGACGGGGCACGGGGGAGGGGTCCTGCGGCCTTCAAAGCGCTGGCAGCGCTCGGGCCAGCCGCGGGATGAGTGGCCCACCACCACCGCGGTGGTGGAATACTTGATGCAGCAAAGCCTCACCCAGACTCTACTTCCAGTGACCCCCAGGTAAGTTGAGTTTGAGACCCCTGATATAGAGTCAAGTTCCATCAACTGGGAACTCAAGGAGAATTATGTGGAAAGTGCTAACATCCTCAACTGAAGGAATAAATGAGGCTACAGAGGAGGAAGGGTGGTGATGAACCAATGCAGTTGTTTATCACAACAGTAAGACAATGATTTTGTATCAAAGCATTAATTTTATTTGAACTCTGACAGTTACAGGCTTGGTGTTCGAGGCATACTGCCCAGCATCTATGCTTGGCTCAGAATAAATCTTTTAACAGTTTTGAAATCTTTGTATAATAATAGGAATGTAGCTTCAAAGGTTATTTTCAAGCTCCTTGAGGGGGATTATCACTGGAGTTTGTGCTGTGAGTTTAGAAAATTGTCCAAACTGAGCAAATTATGGATAATTGTTTCATTTGTTTTACACATGCCGCAGAATTCAGCTGTCCTACTTGAGAATTCAGGATATGGTACATAATGTAATAGACATGGTTTTTGTTATCAAATGTACCTCAAGTTTAAAATAATGTCATTTTATGCAACCAACACAGCTTGGGAACATGGCTGCTGACAAGATGTATCTTCTTCTGCTATGCCAACTGGCCAAGGTATAAATCACTTTCATTAAAAAACATTGACTTCTACCCTCTTTCAGCCTGAAAGTTATATCCATTTTATCCTTTCTATCTGAAAACCCATTGGAACATCTGTATCAGGTACATGAACTTGTCCATACTAATATATTTCGTAATGTTTGGAAACAACAACTTGTGAATGGACCACATAATTAGGAAAAATTTCAGGACAAAGCAGTCCAACTTCTACAGTCTAGTAGACTGCATAAGACTTCTATTTGATTAGTTCAAAACTCTCTCCTCAATAGAGTTATGCCCTTAATTATTGCTGCCAGCTTTTTATACCTCTCAGCTCAGACATACTAATCCTGTGCAGCAGGCAGAGATGATGGCCTCCCAGTCAGAAGCTTTTATGATGGAAACAAGCCAAGACAAACCCAATCACATGCCAGAGATTTCAAAAGAAGCAAGATATGAAAGCCAACATTCTACTACCTAAATGCAAACAAAAGCTTCTGTTGGAATCAGCTGTCGCTGCCCAGTTTTCAGACAAGAGACTTAACTCCAACAATTGAAATGGGGACTATTTGTGACAATAATGTCTACATTACGAAGGGAAGAAATCATACGAAGAGAAGAAATCATTACAATCATTCTGGTTGTAAATACAGAGCCTTGTAGAGTCAGACAGGAAAGCCACCTTTCATAGTGAGCTGCAAGTGCATCCTGGGTAAAGCCACCCAACCAAAGGAAACGTCAAGGAGATTGGGAGGCAGTTTCTCAGGACTTGACATTTGGAATTAAGTACCAAGGAACTAGCTAGCAAAATAAAAACACACACAAATAATAGCCACCCCTGAAAAGCTGCCAGAATACCTGCTCATTAAGTACGCAACAGCTCCTTTCTCACCTACACACTACTGGAAAAGGTATCCAGGTCACGTGCACTGAGAAAAGGAGGTCAAACTGTGGCAACAGAAACCGTGGTTCTTGTTTTTAATAACTGAATGAAGAGGATGCGGTTAGCTGAGGGTTAGGAACATCTTCCACATCCTACAGAAGCACAAGAGCTGTTGTTATAAGGATACAGAACTGGCAGTTTAAAGTCGTGTTTACTGATTTCCCACTACCCGCTCCTCCACCTGGTCCCATTTATCTAGTGTCTTTTGTTTGAGTGATCTTCAATGGACTCTTTTTATTCTCTTTAAGTTTGTGCATAGCTAAAATTAGCTGCCTTAACGAATAGGAAAAATCATTAATACAAAGTAAACAAAACTCTGAGGACACATTCTGCACTCTGCCAAAAAAAAAAAAAAATGCAATCAGAACAGGGATTATTCTTCCACTATCCGTGGAAACCATAGAACATCCGGTCTTCATAAATGCTCAGTACACAGGTGCCACAAGCCAAATGATCCCATTTGGGGATCTGAGGAAGATAAGATCAATTTTTAAGAAGAACCAGATTTCAGAAAGCGTATCCCAGAGGTTTGTTTTAACTTAACTAAGTTGCAAAAAGTGCTTCAAATATGTAGTTTCCCTAATAATGTTGGAACTTCCCAACTTCATAGGCCAGCAGTACAGTGATGCCTTGTAGTTGAAACAACTCTAACTTTGAACAATCCAGAATTTGAACATTAGAGTTGAGATAAAATTGCTCCACAGTTCGAATGATGCTTCTAGGTTCAAACTGCAAGCAAAATGAAAAAAATGTGGTTGTAGCAAAAATGTCATTGGTTGTGTGCCCAAGCAGAAAACAAAAGCCTTGATGTCCTGAATTGATTCATCTTGACTTGAATTGATTTGTCTCATCTTGAATCAATTCATCTTAAATCAACTCGGGACATTGAGCCAGCCACAACAGTGCTGGGGTAAGTGTGTTCAAAGCGAGGGGGAGTATTTTGAGTGGGATTAATACTGTCTTTTACTGTCTTTTACTGTAATATTTTCTTCTTTATGTAAACATTCATATTTTTTGATCACACCTCATATGTAACCTTGAACTTAATTCATTTCAGGAGGTCATATTTGCTGTTTACCAAAATGGGTATTGTTTAGGGTCTGGGAATGGATTAATTCAATTTTCATTATTTCTAATGGGGAAAATTGCTTTGGACTTTGAACAATCCAGCATTCAAATGGCTTCCTGAAGTGAATTAAATTCAAAGTATGAGGCACCACAGTATCTCCTATCTTGCCTGACCTGGTTTAGATCACTTGGCAGGGTCCTCTTGGCAAAGACGGCACGTAGCATCATGAGAAATAATGAGCAGGTGCTTGCTTATCAGGCTTGCTAACAAGCTTGCATTCCACGCATACTGGCTTCCCTTATTCCCATCAGCCACAGCATGACCTTGCTGCTTAGGGTACCAGTTAGTAGAGCTAGGCACCATGTAACTTTAAAGCACACACAATTTTAATAATGCATGTCTTGATGTAAACAAGCAGAGGTACAGCCCCTCTTTGTTTGGACTCCTTCCAGTAGGTTTGGACTGTTTGTCCATTCCAGCTGATGGGGGCTGTGTGAATTAATTGATGATATATGCTTTGTAAGTTATTCAATTTAATAATAATAAATCTCCTTGTAAGCAAACCTGGACCTGGCTTTATTGCTTTCCTCAGGATTCCAAAAAACTTTGAGTCCACTGCAAGAGCATACACCAAGAAACAGAAGAGCAAAATCTATATTCTAAAGCAGGGGTGTAGAACCTCAGGCCCAAGGTCCCAATCTGACCATCCTGGGGACCCTAGCTAGCTATGTCCCCTTTCTCTTCCCACCGATCATTTGGTGGTTTCCCAGCATTTCAGCAACTCTTCCATCCCTAAATTCTTAAAAGTAAAAAAAACCTCTCCTGAGCTTTAATCCTGGCAGTAGGAACTTTAAGCTAAAATACTGTCATTTTGCCCCTCCTTTTATTAACATTACAATATCACCCAATAGCTGAAGGTCTCCAAGTGGTTCACAGAAAAATAGTGTAAGAATACAATTACATACAATACAATAAAACATCATAAACTAGGCATTATAAAATTTAAAAAGCAAATGTAAAAAGCTACGATAGCTTACTTAAATAAAGCCACAAGACCTGTTCAGCAGTTGACAGTGCTCCGACATCAAACTAATTAAATGTCCTATCACCGAGGATGGTCTTAACCCTGCTCTGAAAAGATATGAAGGCTGGCGACAGGCAGGCCTCAGTGAGGAGCTAGTTCTGTAACTCAGGGTCTGCCACTGATAAGAACCTTCTTTTTGTTTCCACTAACTGAGTTACACTTGAAAGTGGCAACTGGAAGCCGGCCCCAGAACACAGTCATAGTATACAGGCAGTTTGTGATTGGGAGAGGTGTTCTGTTAGGTATTGTAGTACCAATGGAGGCCATGTAAGGCTGTACATGTTAGAAAGAGCACCCTGAATTGGACTCAGAAGCATACAGGCAGCCAATGAGAGTGGGCCAGAATTGGTGGTGGGTGTTCCCTCCTTGCTTTTATTAGCCAAGGGAAGCAATGATCCAGTACAAACGTGGTTGCAGAATCTTTTCAAGTGCATTGCCAACATCCTTCAGCCATGCTAACTGGAACTCATCCAAGAGAACCTGAACAGACTGTGCTCTGGATTTCACCTGATTCCACTGCAACAATGCTGGAGTCTAAAGCCCAAAAGATGCAAGAGATGTTATCCTGGAAATGCCAAGTAAATATATTGCAGTGGGCCTCAAATGTATCGAAGATGTCCACTGCACTGGACAACCCTGGAGAGCTCTACTGAGCAACAGAAACACTTGCATAGAGGCAGTGAGAAGTATTGCCTCCAAGTATACTCACCTATAAGCACTTATCAGGGTTCGATTGCATCCACTAAGAATTGTCTTCCACTGGCACTCAAACTGTCTCCAGTTTTGTTTCATTGTTGTCAGCTCCAGGGTATACCATGGAGTTGTATAAGCTCTACCCCAGAAAGGGCACTCAGGCCTGATTGTGTCAACTGCCTGGGTCACTTCTGTATTCCAGAAATCAATTGGACTGCCAGCCATATCAGTCAGAAACACCCAAAGAGCCCAAAGAAACCATGTGGATCCATTAGCCTCCAGGGGTGGAACATCACCTCACCCCTGTGGAGGAGAAAACTTGCTATTAGTCTAATCAACTGATTCAGTTTTTCCTTCTACATGACAAAGGGACCAATTCAAAGTCCACGATCTTCAGATCACTATCTCCATGCCTATCCAAAAAAATACCAATCCAGCATGTGCCCTGCTGCGTGTACTGGGCCAATGTCATGTTGGGACAGTCCCATGGTTGTCACAGAGTCCGTGAAACCCTTGGCTATCCCAGATAAGGTGTTCTGAACATGGATTTTAACATCTCCCTGGACCAGCAGCCTTGGGAAAACGCAACATCTCTACTGAAACAATCTCTTGTCAGCTCAGGTAGGGAGACTGCTGGGTTATGGCATGAATCAGAATTGCCAATCTGTCCTGTTGGCCCAACACAAGGTACAAACACTCTAGAACAGCAGTTAGATGGACATCCCAGCCTGGAAAGGAAGAGATGGAATTCCTATAGACCATGGCAAACCACCCTCCAGTCATTTCTGATGTTGTACCAAGTACCCTGGTAGGCAGAGCTAAGAGAGGCTAGCTTTTCCCTGTTTGTCCAGCCAGGTCTCAGTTACACATGCCAAATCCTCCTCCCACTATTAGAATGCAGCCCCCTGAGGCTCAATATCCCTGCTCTATAGCCATACATGTACCACTATAACAAATTCTTTCCTTTTGTGGGCAAATTATCTGCCTCTCCCGCCCCAATCTTTTTCTAAAGAGATCTTCATGTACATCCCTTCCCAAAGAAATGTTCAAATAATTAAATAATAAATAAAGCTCAGGTTTAATCAACTGTGCATTGATTTATCTATTACTTTTTCAAGTGAGCCAACCGTAATACAAAGAACACTGTGAAGGACTGTCTTTACTCATATACAAACTAAAAAAAGTCAGACATTAGGATGCTAACTCTAACATCAAGGCAAATTTCTACTTGCTTTAGTTAGAATAAATTCATTAATGGGAATCTTCTAAATGTCTTAGTTGCATATAGGCTATCTTCCTGGCCAAAGGAACAAAGATAAGGAATAAGGACATTTTGCAGCAGCCTTTACTGGGTCTTTGCAGAATTCAAACAGAGTGTTAAATAATCACTTAATAAACAGCAATAACGTGCAGCAAGAATAGATGGCATTGCCCTTACCTGGGATATTCGTGGCTGGATAGTGCCATCAGCATATAGCGTGCTGCCCTGTGGCTGGCCTTCTAGCCAGGTAATTTTTAGAGGATTGTTTATCAGGCCAACTTCATGCTTCACTGCCATCTCCTGACAAATACAAGCAGCTACCATTATAATCCTCTTCATTTCACTTATCCATGTTCCCGAAATAGAACTCCAAAATATAGGAGTCAGGTCAAGCAGTTAAACTATAGCGTTAGATGGGACATATAAAAACTGCCTAAATTTGGCTTTCAAATTACTTCATAAGATATTGATTAATCTGTATGTGATACAAAGATGTGCCATATTATATGGAAAAGCTTGTGAGTCAACCACCCCACAAGGTAAATAAAAGAAATTCGAATTTCTAGAACAAGCATGCAATGTCACACACAATGTCGTCAAAGAAAATGTGACCTATCTAAAAAGTTTGGAAAAGGAGGGAAATTCTTCTGCAGATGCAGATTTTTTTCCACATCTAAAGCTCTTTGTAATATAGAAAAAATCTCCTGCTACCAAAAGAAATTTTTGATAAATCCAGGGTCAGTATTTTAGAATTTATTGGTAATTTTCCCTGTAATGGTCCCTAGATTCCAGTAGCAAATGGGAGAAGTTTTTACCATTATCTCTTTTGTTTATCATAGTTCAGACTAGAACGGGCATTATCTATAAAAATATTAAATTTCTGTAATACTTTTACTTCTGTGAAATTACTGAGATGCCAGTCCTATGTCCTTTGCTGTACAGCACAGCTGGGAACAAACTCTACTTTTTATACCAGCTCCAAGGAAGAACCTACACTTGCTGTAGCGTTATGGAAGGGTCTCTGTGATTCAACAGCTAAAGTATCAGCAACTTCCACCTCTGCTACATATTACATCAGCTCAGGGAAGAAGCAGCTTGACAGCTAAAGAGGATCTGTTCTTAATGGCAGTACTAAAGAACATTAAATATGCCCTTTTGTATAAAAAAGTATCTTTGCTCCATAGAAATCATTTGTCCTCCAAAATAAGATAACCCACAGGATCACTATCTACCTTATGCTATCTTCATCAATAAATTTCAGTGAATAACTTTTGCACAAGCACAGCCACTCTGATGCACTGAAAAATTCTTAAGTTAAAGAAACTTACAGCAGCTTTCACTGTGGCAAATTCTGCAACCGCACTCCCAGGCTTCCTGCTCGAAATCAGCAAATTGAGAACCTCGCCATACTGTTAAAATCAAGAAGGTAAAAACAGATTCAGATTAGGGAAGATATGGTCAGTTCTTAAATGAGGAAATACAAGATCTCTTGCCAAAATCTGCATAAAATACAAACGGCAAAAGCAGTGAAGTTGGATGAGGGACAATATTGATGAAGGGTAATTATGCTGAGATGTTTTTACACATATTAAAGAATGCTAACTCCAAAGTTTTTAAAAATCAAGGACTGAGCAGAGTTTGCACCAAGGCTGAAATGCAACACAGGCAACATAAAAGTTCACAGGTACTCATACATCAGACACTTCCAGAAAAATCTTTTAGTATGACAAACTCTTTTGAGATAATGACTGATGTTAACACTCGGCCTAGTTCTGAATAATTTTCCAATAAAATTATGTTGCTTTTCAGAGCTGAGGAAAGCCCTATCAGGTAGGGCCCAGCAGATTAAAATCAACCTAGGACCTGCTGAAAAAATACTAATAGTCACAAAGGACAAGATCATTCCATCAAAAGCTATATAGGAATATATCAGCTGTGGAACAGCTTAGAAATAAATACCATTTTTATTGGCATTCTTTTTTGCAATAAAAGAATGAAAGTAGTTACAAGTACAATGGGAGGGTCATTCATTTGTTTATGAATAAATTTGTATCATCCATCTTGGCTTATTCTTACAAAATGACAGTGTTTGCATGGAATGGCTTACTGTGTGAATAAACTGCATGCTAGTACATGCAATATTTGCTCCTGCTTGGTTCTTCCTACCAGGACAAATAGGTAAAAATACAAGGAATGATTTTGTTTAGCATCCTGTCCAAATCCAGGGTCCTTTTAGGTAGGAAATAAATTCAGAAGAAAAACTGTTCCCAAACACACCAGGGTTTGTAATTCAAAAGCAAGCCCGGGTTTCCAATCCTGACTTGTAAAGGCCATGAGACAAGTCACAATCCCAACTTCAAATGACACTTATAGGGCAAAGCAAGCAGAAGCAAACAGCCTGCATACACCAGCATACATCATTCATGGTCATCCAGAATTTGCCTACTGTGGATTTGTGGCCAAAATGGATGTGGCCAGTGTTAGTAAAACCCAACAAAACTGAAGGAGCATGTTGGAACAGGACCTTCTGTAGCATTTGCAAGAGAACTTCTCTCGAGTAGCCTCCCTTGGTGTCATCTTCTTTCTTGCATTTCCACCGTAGCTAGTGGGGGAAAGTGACAAATTAGTTTCACACAGTTCAGTGTACCAGGTGCAATATATAACAGAACATACCATTTAGTTTTACAGTTATGATACAAAAAGAGAACAGATTCAAATGTCAACATTTGTAGACATACTAAAATGAGTTATCTGCACCACAAATGAATAGACACAAGCAGCCCTAGGTATCAGGAAAAAACCTGATAGAACTTTTGACAATTACTACATACATCAAGGAGCATCTGGCAACCTGTCAATATCCCAAGTCACAGAGACTAAACTTCTAATTACCTTCATCCTAGTGCCTAGATTCTAGATTAAAGTGCAAGGAACACATTAAGGTGAAGTAAGTGATAATTCCAGTAAGCAGCGAGGATGCCAGAGGCAGTCCAGCTATCTGGGAGGCTGGAGGCGATCCATGTGGCTTCTACTGATGGAATGATAAGTTAGTTGCTCATCTCTCTTCATAGCTCACATTTTTGGGAATGTCTTACTTTGAGCTTGGGTGTTCCTTTGCCCTCCTGTCCATACCCATCTTGTTTGCCTCGAAGAAGAAAATGAAAATAAAAATACAATGACAACTATTTTGAGAATAAATCATCATATCTCTTTTTACTAAACATTTAGGATGCAATCTTATGCATGTTTAGGTAGAAAAAGTCTTATACCTCCCAGCATTCCTCAACCAGGATACTAATGCTAATGCTCTTGCATTAGCACAACATTTCAGCAATAAATTAGCACTTTTACCTTTGAGCTAGCAAATACTAGTGATGCTGGGCTAGCACTGGTTTAGACTAGGGCAGCGTTGTTAGGGCTAACAATGCAACACCACTCAATCACACCACTGAAAAGGTTATGTCAGCTGCTTGCAGTCATATAAGAAACAAATAACACAGTCCAGAAAAGGGACTAGAGCTGCAATGCTAGAACCCCAAATGCTTACTGAAAAGTAAGTCCATTGAACTCAAAGGGACTTATTTCTGGACATGCATAGGATTGGGTTGTAGATCTGCCAACTTGACTGTTTTCTAAAGAATGCATTCTGTCATTAAAACTTCACAAAGAAGCAAGGAGAAAGGGGTGATTTTCATATGAAATATACTCTGGCACAACAAAAGCAAAGTGGCTCTGAGCATCCAAGAATGTAGTCTGAGAAGTGCCCGGACATTTTGAAGTCAGAGACTCTGAACTTGCCTAGCCTTACCATGTACTCGCTGTTCTTTCTCAAGCCGGATTTGTTCCTGAATGAGTCTTTGTTGCTCTTCCAACTGCCGGGATCCCTCTTCACGTAATCTTAGGATCTGGGAAGAGATGCAGAAGGCAAACATTGCTAAGATAAGTGTCTTTAATAAAACAATCTATTCCTTAACTTTTTGAGTAAGAAATAAGAAATGGCCTATCTGGATCCATAGTCTGCATATCAGCAACAACCAAACTGAAAAGTATTTTTAGAGTAGAATAAGAATATGGAAAGTTGCCTTATTTTAGGTCATATAGCTTAGTATTTTCTGTACTGGTTGGGAGAAGTTCTCCAGATTTTTAGACACACTGAAACCTGGAATCTTCTGCATGAAAACATGTGCTCAACCACTGAGCTATAACTTTTAAGATGGAATCCAATCCAGAGGTTTGTAACTGTCCAAACAAAGATAATTAGGGGCATCCTATATAGGGTGGTAGGAGCATGGAGGCAAATGTCACACCCACATTCCTCACACCCTGGAAAACAGCTGATTTCAGTCATCTAAATGTAGTGCCTCTGAGCAGGAGGGAAAGAGGTCAATAGGTCAGCATATTTTGTATCACAGGAGTGCCTGTCTCCTCCCCTCCCCACTCCTTAAACCCAATATCTGCAAACTCAACGATGGAGCCAGCACAGTTCTTTCCAGGCTGGCTGTGGGGAGGGCAGGCTGAGCAAAGAGACCCAGCTATGAGGTAGAAGCAACTTTCCAGTCTTATAGCTGGCTCTCTAAAAATCCTACACTCTGTCCAGAGGTTATAGGATTGGGCTATTAAAGATTTAAAGAAATACCTTCATGCTGCTTCTTCACATCCTTTGAAAGCCTCATTTCAGATATTTCCCTTTCTACAGAATCTCCACATCATTTATTTCATGCTTCTTTCTGTATCGCCATCTCTCTCCTCTTCAACATGACTGTTGTGTGTGAATGCTCCCTCCCCACACCTCTGGCACAAAATTATTTTGTTTGATATGGTATCCTTACCTCTTGCTCTAATGTCCTAGTTATTTGGATCTCTTCCTCCTTGCTAACCCGGGACTGGGCTTCTTTTTCTCGGGCTTCAAGATCTGTTGCAAACAAGTCCACAAAATTAACAAAACCCAAATGTTTTGGAACAGGATGAAACTCTGCTCGTGGCACCCATTCTCCCAGTGCTACATATACATGTAACAGATACCATCTCATATCTGTAAATAACTTTCATGGAAACAAATGCATTGTTGAAATGAAGCAAGGGTAAGGTTCCCAATATCCTGGCATTTATTCCCAATGTGAAATAGTGAGATTAGCATACCAAGCTTGACTTTTTTCCTCCTTTCATCAAGTTTCTGTGTCCTTTCTGCTGCTTGTTTTTTGGCTTTCCTCACTTTATCATATGCTGCCTATTAATAAGATTACAAGAAGAATACATTGAAAGAAAGTGTTGCAGTAATGATGCTAAGCAACAAAGATTCGTTAGTTGTCAGGGCATTCAAAATCTGTTTGTGCTTATCATTTGATATTAACAAACATGTCTAATAGTCCTAAGCATCTAAATATCTATAATCAAAAACAGAGGCAATGAAAGGTCACCCAAGGAAATGTGAAATGAAGGAAGAACTGTAATTTGGGGGTGCTCCTTGAGGCATCTTTGTCACTTGAGGCACAGGTGGCTTCAGTGGCTCAGAGTGCCTCCTACCAGCTTCAGCTAGTATTGTATTGCAAACTATTTATGATGTTTTCTACATGGTGTGTTTTATATTGTATTTTTTAAATGCTGCTGTAAACTGCCCAGAGAGCTTTGGCTATTGGGTGATATAGAAAACAAATAAGCAAATGAATAAATATTCTTCATATACAAAATAGTGAAATAAGAACAACAAAAATGGACAATACTTACTTCCAAGTACTCATCTAACTCACTGATAAAGTCCATTTTAGATTTCTGACTCAACTGAATGTTATTATTAGAGGTAGGGAATGGTCTGAGTGACACTGAATGTCATCATACCTGCAAGGACCTAGTTTTGCTTAGGAATACTATATATAACTAGAATCCAAGGAATGGTCCTGCACAGGTACAGGGGAAGTGCAAGAGCCCTGCTTGCTGCTTCTTGCCACAACTGCTTCCACTGCTGAAGAAGCTAGCCACTGAAATTGCAGCTTGTGTCTTCAGCAGCAGCTAAACATATAGTCCTCTTTCATGTAGACATTCTTTTTTGGGATTCAGCCTATAATTCTTCATACTAAATTTTGTATTGTAGAACCCAATATTTGATCAAAACCTAAAATCTTTTCCATCCCATATGACCACTAATTTAGAAAATATACAGAGATTGAATAGAGACAAGGAACTCATATAAAGCCACCAAGCAAGAATAAAATAGTTTAAACTTTCCCACCATTTTTAAAAAAGCGCCATTATCAATTAATACTATCAATTAACAGAACAAATGAAAGGACCCACCAGGCCATCTCCCTCCCTCCCTCCCTGTTATTTTATTTATATATATATATATATATATATATATATATATATAAACAAACAAACAAACAATTAAATCAAGAGCAGGAAATGTACATCTTAGTTCCTGTCTTTTAGTAGCTTGGGCTAGTATAGTAGCTTATTCCTGGACAGAGACAGCCTTGCTACCATTACTCATGCTCTTGTAACAACCGGACCAGACATCACTAGCATAATGCCAGCACTGCATTCCACCCATGATTTCTTAAACACCTGTTGTGCAAGATAAATTATTGGTACAAGAGCACTCTTTCCATGCAGGTACAACCCAGCCTCAGTTCCTCACAGTTTAGAATCACACTCTTGTTGAGAGAAGTTCCACACATGAGCAGACAGGCCCCTATCCTGAAGCAACCTGTGCACTGCCCATAGAGGAATAGCTGAAAGAAAGCCCTGAAAGGCTTGTTTTACCTCCAGTCACTGGTGTCCAAGGGCAGAGGCACCAAATGCTCTGGTTGCAGTTATTATACGGAATTAGAAAACTCACCCTTGCTGCTGCATCTGTTAGAACCGCCAATGCCTGAGACAACTGATGGAAGAGTTCAGCTAGGGAACAAGAAATGAAAACATTCATACAACAAGATAGGAAAGCTCATAGAATTCCTGGAGAAATAGGAATAAAATTGGTCTGAGTAAAGGATTTTATAGTATGGGACAAAGCTAATCCACCACCATAAAGATATACTTCCAGACTTGAATTTCCACCATTTAAAGAATGGTTTAGCCTTTATTGGAAATAAACTGCTGACTTGATTTCTCAGTTTGCAGTTATTCAGAACAGCAATCCCATGATGTACTACCCTTGGCAGTCACACTCCCTTGGGTACTACCTCAGCTACTTTAAAAATCATTGTAAACTTCAAAAGATTTCTGCTCTCCTCTGTATTCTTGGGAAAAATACTTATTTCAAGAAAACCTATCAGGGCTTTAAAAATCCATTTCAGAACTTTCCATCATCGGGGGTCCTGTTTGTTTGTTTGTTTAAGAAGGCTTTACAAGGGTACAACCCTATCAAAGTAGCTCCTAACAACTAACATATCAAACAATACATATAAAAATAAGCAACTATAACATAAAAGCAGCATAAACACATCAATAAAAATCTAAGCAAAAGAAATGTTAAAAACCTGTGTAAAAGTCATAATTGAGGTGATGATATATCTTCCTGGGGGAGGGAGTTCCAGAGATGTGGGGTCACTACTGAGAAAGTTCAGTCCCTCTTGCCTTACGACTGATGGTTGTTTACAGCAGAGCAGAACCTCTGAGGCTGGTCATAGGACCTGGGCAGATTCATATAAATGTGTGGGGCATGGATGGACTTCATTGAACCTGGTCTCAAGTTGTTTAGGACTTTAAAGATGAAGATCAGTATTCTAAATTGAGTCAAATAAATCAGCAACCAATTCAACTAGTACAGAATATGACCCAATTATTTCAAATGAAATTAAATTAGAAACAGGCAAAACATTTAAAGGATTCTTTTAGTACAACTAAACCTCCCAGGAAGCTTTAGCAAATGGAAGGTATAGAAATGAAATAAATAATTGGTCACATAAATAAGCCAGAAAGACTGCCCTATATACTCCAGCTCAGCTTTTTGGAAAAAGTTCTCCATAATGTATACACTTCCTTATGTATCAAAAGTACTTATGTAAAAATACATAGAAATGGTTAGGCAAAAAAAAAAAAAAATCAAGAGATGAAATCTGGATAAACCAAGTCACTCCTAGTGATCAAATGGGTGTCAATAAAAGTTGGAATGCTGACACTTTCTATGAAGATTGTCTGTACCTGCTTTTGGATTATCTGGATTTTTATCTGGATGGCAAGTCAGAGCCTTCTGTCTGTAGGCTTTCTTAATCTGAAAAAAATTACAATGAATATTGTAATAAGTAGATGGAAAAATGTATAAAGTAATGTACAATTGAAAACATCCCCCCACTAAATGGATTTAGAAGCCAGCATATGCTAGTAGGAGTTTTATTCCACTGTAAAAGAGTGTCCAAATACATCAGCATCCACATGACAAATGACAATAAAGCTGCACTGACATTCTGCCAGTATCCAGCTTCTTGGCAACAGTACATTTCACATGCAGCAGAACAAATGCCTATCTCAGTAAAGCTAGACAGAAGGTTTTCAGTTCTGAACACAGGCAAATGGCAAACTTCAGACTTGCTGCTACACTAAAGTAGTGTCTTCACATGGTAAGCATAAGAAGTAATCAAGCCAGGCTGTGCCCTTAAACATGCAATGAACATATACTGGGGACCTATAGCCAGTTAGGATTTCCCCCAGTGTAATTGGGAAGCACTGTGTGTGCCCCCCTTATACATTTGGTGTAGTGTTGCTGAAAACATAGCAAACATAAATGTGAATTAAAAGAGGTACATCCTGACGGGGACTGGGCGTTGCTGACGGGGTTGCTGATGGGGACTGGGCATTGTTCTCTATAACCCCAGTTCTCTGTCAGCTTCACTGACTCCCCATTGAAGTCCGGGCCCAATTCAAGGTGTTGGTTATCACCTATAAAGCCCTCAACAGCTTGGGACCTGGTTATCTAAAGGAGTGCTTGCGTCCATATATGCCCTCCCGCCCCTTAAGATCGGCTGAGGAGGCCTTTCTCCGGGAGCCCTCTGTGAAGGATATTAGGAGGGTGAATACCCGGAGGAGGGCCTTCTCTGCGGTGGTGCCCCACCTATGGAATGCCAGAGAGGTCCGCCTGGCGCTGTCGTTATTTGTTTTTCGGCGCCAGGCCAAGACCTTTTAATTTAAATATTTTAATTGTTAATTTGTTGTTCTTATTTATTGGTTTTAAATTATGGCCGAGATACTCTGAATTTTTAATGTTATCCTATTTTATGTTTTATCTGCCTTGTAAGCCGCCCCAAGGCTTTCTGCGATGGGTGCGGCATAAAAATGTTATCAGTAAATAAATAGATCCTTGACTGCTTGGACTTCAGTTGCTAAGACAAAACTAGTTTATTTTACAAAGTAATTGGTGCTACTATCTCAAATACTCACCAACTGATCAACAGTTGAAAGAGGGAAGTCAGTAATGTTTAGCCAGTATTGCATAGAATCACTGATACACTGATCACAATCTTTCTAAAGTAAAAGTCTGAAAGACTTGAACACATGTCTAGCTGTGGAGTCCGGAAAGTTCTACAATTTTTTCCTGTCTAAACACACATAAGATTGTGCCCTAAACATATATATATATATAAAGAGCAATTCCTTGGAAGAGTGCCCCAGATAACAGGACTGTTCAGGGTCTCCCTCCTCAAGACATAGGCATTGCTATGACCCCCGGTTCTTATCCCCTGTCCCCTTGCAGTCATTGAAGAATGGGCCATGTCAGCTGCTTCCTCATTTCACAAATGCAGCCTTGGAGGACAAGTAATTGAGACATTTCAGTGAGTGGAAAGGGAAGCATAAAGACCAGAATATAAGAAATCCTATGGCATCTCCATTCCTGACCTGGCAATGTACCTTATTTAGATAAGCTCAAAGGCCTGTCTAGAAGGAAAGTTTATAAAGGGAGGATGGAGAATGAAATATGCAGCTGCATATCTGAGAAGCAGTGGAAAAGCTGTCTTTTGCGGAAGTTTGTCTGCCCTTACGGTGAGGAACCCACCCAATAATATCTCTGGAAAACTGACTGAAAACCAGTGTGTGGCAAAGTTCAACATGTTAAGGCAGGGCTGAGGAACGGTTCAGTGTGAGAGCTAAATTCCATTTTGGAGAAGCTCTCCAGGACTGCATTTCAGTAGTGAGCAGGACCAAAGCACGCATGCACACATACACACGGGGAGGGGGGGGGGGGGGGGGGGGGAGGAGAGGGAAGAGGGAGAGAGAGAGAGAGAGAGAGCGCACGCACGCGCGCGCTTTTACTGCCAGCAACTAGGTTTTCTGAGAGACAATTCAGAATGGGGAGGGGGGAAGAACAAAAAGCAGGAAGCTACCCAACAAGCAGTGGATGTGGTTGGCCCAACACTCCCCATCTCTGTGTGCAGACTTTTCTTTCTGTCCAGGTTGATGGATTAAATTACTTTAGCACATCAAATGCAGCAATTATCAAGAAACAATATATATAACATCAATTCATTGTGTGAGCATTAATATTCTTGATTATAAAAGCCTGTCTGTAATCAAGTAAAGCAAAATCTTATCCAGAGATGGCAAGTTCAAACAAATCTGCAATTGGCTAAAAACCTCTGGTATTTGATCACCATCTAGTGGACAGTAAGAGTAGGAAGGTGTAAGGAATCTGGCACTCTGCAGATGTTTTGGACTACAACTCCCATTATCTCTGATCATTAGCCATGCTATCTGGGGGAGGGGTTATATCTAAAACATCTGGAGGGCAGTAATGCCATATATTTATTTAATTTAATTTATTGTGTATTTTATTCGATGTTGTGAGCCGCCCCGAGGCTTCGGCAAGGGGCGGCATAGAAATGTTTTAATAAATAAATAAATAAATAAAAATATATTATCTTAAAAATTATAATAATAGCACTCAAAAAGTTCCTTGAATGGTTACCTATGGTGAGTAAAAATGTAAAAATATTTTACAAACTTGGGTGTGTGTGTGAAAAGAATAGATATATAGAGACCAAATAGATAGTAATAAAAAATAGGATACAAACTTTTGTAAATTTACTTAAACTGATTGTCCAGAAACAATCCATGGTAATTTATTATGTGCTATTGTATTTCAATGTATTTTATTGTGTTGTAAGCCGCCCCGAGGCTTCGGCAAGGGGCGGCATAGAAATGTTATAATAATAATAAGCCACTATTATTATTATCACAGAGAAATGATGTTGTGAAAATAGTGGCTTGTTTAAGAAGATACCTTAAATTAATGGCCGAGCTGTGCTTATAAACCAGGGACTTTCTAACTATTGGACCCTATTGCCCATCTTGGTTAATAAATAATTCCAAGCACAGGATTGGGATCTGGATCTTGGAAGTGGTTAACACTTCTCTGAAGGAGGGTCAGGTGCCTGCCCCTTTAAAGGAGGCGGTAGTCTGACCGGTCCTGAAGAAAGCGTCACTGGATCCAGAGATGGCCACTAACTATAGACCAGTGGCCAACATCCCGTTTCTGGGCAAGGTGTTAGAGCGGGTGGTGGCGGGACAACTCCAAGCACTCTTGGATGAAACTGATTATCTGGACCCATTTCAGTCCGGCTTCAGACCCGGGTACGGTACTGAATCTGCCTTGGTCGCACGGTACACTGACCTGTGCAGGGAGAAGGACAGGGGGAGTGCGTCCCTGTTGGTTCTCCTGGACCTCTCAGCGGCTTTCGATACCATCGACCATGGCATCCTTCTGGATAGGCTAGCGGGATTGGGGGTTGGAGGCACTGCTTTGCAGTGGTTCCGCTCCTATCTCAATGGCCAGTTCCAGAAGGTGGTGCTGGGGGACTACGGCTCTGCACCATGGCAGCTATGCCATGGAGTACCGCAGGGGTCCATTTTGTCCCTTTTGCTGTTCAACATCTACATAAAACCGCTGGGAGAGGTCATCAGGAGGTGTGGGCTGTGGAATCATCAGTACGCTGATGATACCCAGCTCTACCTCTCGTTTTCCACCAATCCAGGTGAGGCAGTGGCTGTACTGAACCAGTGCCTGGCCGAGGTAATGGGCTGGATGAGGGCCAATAAACTGAAGCTCAATCCAGACAAGATGGAGGTCCTGTTGGTTGGCGGATCGGGCTTCGGAGAGGGTGAATTGAACCTAGTCCTGAATGCGGTTGCACTCCCTCTTAGGGACAAGGTCCGCAGCCTGGGAGTGCTCCTCGACCCGGAGCTTTCATTGGAAGCTCAGGTGACAGCAGTGGCGAGGAGCGCTTTCCTTCAGCTTCGGCTGATTCATCAGCTGCGCCCCTACCTGGAGTACGACTGCCTGGCAACAGTGACACACGCGTTGGTGACTTCCCGCCTTGACTTCTGTAACGCACTCTACGTGGGGCTACCCTTGAAGACGGTCCGGATACTTCAATTGGTTCAAAATAGAGCTGCCAGGCTGCTGACAGGGACTGGGCGTTATGTTCACATGACTCCAGTCCTCCGTCAGCTTCACTGGCTTCCCATTGAAGTCCGGGCCCAATTCAAGGTGTTGGTGATGACCTATAAAGCCCTAAACGGCTTGGGTCCTGGTTACCTGAAGGAGCGCTTACATCCATATACGCCTGCCCGCCCCTTGAGATCTGTGGGAGAGGCCCTTCTCCAGGAACCCTCCGTGAAAGAAATTAGGAGGGTAGGTACTCGGAGGAGGGCTTTCTCTGCGGTGGCGCCCAATCTATGGAATGCGCTCCACAGAGAGGTCCGCCTGGCGCCGTCGTTATTTGTTTTTCGGCGCCAGGCGAAGACCTTTTTATTTAAGCGTCATTTTAATTGTTAATATTATTTGCTTATTTTATCTGGCCAGGGTGACTTATTTTATATTGTTATCTCTTGTATTTTAATTTATGTTGTGAGCCACCCCGAGGCTTTGGCAAATGGGGCGGCATAGAAATGTTTTAATAAATAAATAAATAACTCAATGTGCATTCTCTTCATTATTATGCTACTCCAGTTCAGACAAAGCATAAGATGTTGGGATGGAGTCCCTTTGGGGTGTGGTCAAATTTCATGCAGTTCACAGCAGTGTTCTGGTGGCTCTGTCCTTTTTGCTTGCCAACCCATATGTAGGTGGCATACATAAGATCTCTCAAGCATGTTCCACCAGCCCTGCTGTTGGAACCTTCCTATTCCTTGTGGGAGCAAGGAAGGAAATTTGCCCAGAAGTAGAGAAGAAGGTTTGGAGGATAGGATGGGACACAACAACAAGCTGCAGTGCCAAAGCCTTTGTGTCAATCTTGGCCATTTTTAAATCTGCCATAGGACAGAGCAAGCTAGTACTATCTAGCTGTTATTGGGAAAGCCTGACCTTGAAGTAAAAACAGGAAGGACAAGATCTCCCCTCTCAAATCTCCATGCTATTGGGAACAGAAGATTTTGCAACCACAGACAGCCACTTGGTGGGGGTAGCAGGAAGAGGTGGCAGCAATGAGTGAAACAATCCAGATATTTAGATTAATGGAGCCTGATCTAAGCCACATTTGGTGGGAAAGCCATGGAGTAAAGAGTTCCTAACTGGTAAAATGAACTGGGACCTTATGAAACCTGTATGTTTTATTCCAGATTGTGCTAAAGGTGAAGAAGATTCTGATCAAGGAATGCCAAAAGGAGCATTAAATCCCACCAGTTGCATGTCTGAAAGGAGGAGGAGGAGGAGAAGTAGTAGTAGTCTTATAATGGTACTATCTTATGCAGTGAGGTTTTCTCTGAGGGAACTTGGAGAGCAAGAAAGACTAAGTAAGCTTGACAGCAAAACCCATCAAGGGTAATTAACCACAATGAGTTCTCATGTCAACTGAATTCAGACCACTTCCTACACAGTGGCTTATTTTTTCCATCAGCAATCCATTGCTTGTTCAATCCACAATGGGTGGTAAGTTCACCTAATGTGCTGCAGGAATCCACTATTGAGCCATTTGGCAAGAGTGGCAACTTCTCTGCTACCAGTGACAGCCTGTTCTCTGATGCCCAAGCAGCACTCCAGAGTGATTGTCACTGGTTTACCACTGGTTTGTCAGGGAATAGCAGTACAAAAAGCAATAAGTAGTATGGAAAGGAGCTGCAAAAGTGAGGGAACTAATATCTCCCCTTTCTAGAAGACTCGGAGAATTGTTGAAATGGTGGAGAACACTAAGCAGTATTGGCTCAACAGTTAAAATTCATAAGATTACATTGCTATTGCTTCCCTCACCCGCTTTTGGTGTACCTTTTTTGTTGTTTTCTTCCCCTTTACCAATGCTCTTCAACTGACAACTCCATGATTGGCCCCTGGCAACTGTGCATAAATTAGCCTATATGCAGGCTTCCCTTGTCACTTTTCATGTATGTTACCTACTCTACTTTCCAGCTTCTGTTGAGTGCTGAAACATACAAAGAAATTGACCAGGAAAGGCTACACATACCCAGCAGCCCTAAGAATACATTTGCAAAGGGCTGACAAAAATAATACAAACAAATACAACGCCAAGTGCACATTTCTTAGGCTACATTAAAAAAAACAAACAGCAGCAAATGGAAAGGGGTAACAATCAGACTAGAGAGGAGAAGGCAAGATAAGTTCAGCTGTGAAGGACATGAGGATACCAGCTGGAGGACTGAGAAACAGAACAGGCCAGGGTGAGCCTATTTATTTATTTAATTCCATTATTTGTTTAATTCCATAATCTCTTAATTATCTGTTGGAAAAATGTGGATTGTTCCGCAAACAACCCACATACATACCTTACTTGCAGGGAGATTTAGCATGTCATGAAAATCTGCCCAGAAAAAAAGGAAATGACAAGAAGAGATAACCCTGTTCATAGGGATAACTTTTGGTTCTAGCCTTAACGACTGTGAGCAGTGCCACTCAATTTTTCAGTGAGTCAAAGGCTCTCTCTCTAAAAAGCAAAACATCTCAATGTATACTGAAAGCCACTACAAATCACAGTTTATTAATACAGATATGCATTACATACTACCAAACTAGCCATCAAGATGATAGATGGAGAATATGCGGAGGGCTTGTAAACTACAAGGGACTCTGGGGAGTGCAGAGTATAAGGCATCCAACAGCTACTAGCTGTGATAGCTATATATTATTTCAGTATCATAAGTAGCATGACTCCCATCACTAGTTTCTGAGCCATATGAATGGATGCACACCAATGTACACACGCCCCATTTGCTGGCTTCCATAGGGATCTGGGTGGCCACTGTGAGAATGGAGCTGGACAGGATAGGTCTTTGGTCAGATCCAGCAAGGATCATAAGTTCTTATGCTGCCTCCCCAAACCTGGTGATCTCCAGATATTTAAAGTCACAACTCCCAGAATTCCTAACTACTGGTTGTGCTATCTGGGCCTGACGGCATTAAAGTCCAAAGCATTTGTAGGGCATCAGACTGGCAAAGGCTGATGCCCTACAAAACACCCTAATCAGTGATTTACTAATGAACCACTCATTTATGATAACGTAAAGGGGTTCACTTTGGGATACCATTGGAGCAGGGCCTACCTCTGCCCCCAATGACCCCAATCAAATCTACTTTTCTCTGCACTGCTTTACATGTTTCTAGGTTACCTTAAAGTGTGCAAGAAAATTGGGCAGGCAAAACAGAACGCTGAGAACTCATTTTTAGAGAGACAAATAATAAATAATGGAAAGTATAGGATAATTTTCACGTAGGAATGCCACATCTCACATACACAGTGTCATTCTAAGGATAGTTATTCAGAATTAAACTCCACCGAATCAAAGGGCAACTACTCTTATAGTACAAGCTTATCCAGACTGGTGCCTTCCAGATGTGTCAGGCTATAACTTCCATAATTCCCAACCAGCATAGGAAGCTGCAGCCTGACACATCTGCAGGGCCCCAGTTTAGAGAAGGCTGTCCTAGTAAGCGTGCTTAAGGACCTGTAAAGACGCACGTCCACTAATGAGGCCTTAGATTTATAGTAACAATTACTACTCGACTTTTAACAATTTATGTCTTGTGAGACAACGAGGCCTCCAAGGCCCTTCAATAACCTAAAGCGCGCCCCTCGTTCCCCACTACGGCACGGTTTCCTCCCGCCACCTTTCCTTACCGTAGGGAGTGCTATGAGGACTTTTCTCCCCGCACCCCACTTCAACCCAGAGCCCTCCTGACCTCTTTATCCGCCGCCTTCTCGCCGACTCCCAGAAGTGCGTACAAGTCCAACTCCAGCAGCTCTTTATCAACCGCCATTTCCTTCGCGCGCCCTTTTTCCCCCCTTCACAGACCAAACTGTTACTCTTTGCACCGGGCCGGGAACCACCAGTCCGATCCTCTTCTTGCCACCAATACTCCTTCACCCTACGACAGCGACTTGGCTGCTGGGAAATGTAGTCTTTCCCTCCTTAGAATTCTCCGCTAATCGGAGATGATTGGATTAACTGGAACTACAATTCCCATCATGCCCTGTCCAATACGCGGACCTGATACAAGAAAATAGAGGAACCAGAAGGACTCCCATAAGGCACCGCACAAGGAAAAAGTGTGTGTTGGGGGGGAGGAAGGAGGAATCTCCTTTGGCCCTTGGGAAATGTAGTTTTTTCTATATCTTCCGCTTAGAGAAGGAGAGCAAAAGAAAGAGGGAACACCTGAGACACGGTGAGTATAATCAAGAACTGGAAGGGTTTCTGCCTGCTGGCTGCACTAGACCAGCGTACATAGTGGCCCTTCCTTACTCTTGTCCAGTGCCGGTGTGTTGTCCGTTCCTCGTTCCAGTCTCGGTGACGCGCAGCTGACTCGCTTAGAAAAATCACCCCCTGGCCATATTGGGGGGGGGGGTGCTTTCCTTCAGCGCGCTGCCACTGACACTTCAACTCAGCCTAAGGTGGACTGAGCCTGTGTCTCTCCTTCACCGTCATCTCTTTCATCTTTTGTCCCCTTTGTCTTAAGGGGCGGGGGAGATATAGAAATGCACGTAGAGAAACGTATGGAGGAAGGCAGAAAGAGACACGTGTAACCGCCACCTCCAATATGTTTTTACAAAAATTAAAAGTGGGTGGCACGTTGCAGGCAGTCGTTAGTGCTGTTGGCTTAAAAAAGAGGAAGGGGGCTGAGTAACTTTGGTTAATGGGCAGTGCAGAAATTAATTAAATAAAACACATGTTTATTTAAAAATAAATGTGCCATGAAGAGAGTAATTGGTTTGGTCAGAGGTAAGCACCTCGATTTTAGATCTTGGGTATTGGGTGCTAAAGTATCAATCAGCCAACTAAAATGCCTTTCAGATTTTAAAATAATGTAAAGCTAAAATGATCTACAGATATGCTTTGTGATCTTTGGGGTGCTGCAGAAAAATAGTTACTTTTTTAAAAAAAGCAAAATTTGTTGCTTTATTATTCATCGGAGGGTGAACACACTACTAGCCTGGCAAGATGATGAGTCACTCACCCTAAGAGGTGTACATTGCTGATTTGCCTTTCCCCTGTAATCAGTATTTTGTAGATGATTGTGTTCAGACACTGTTCAGACAATGGTGATTGCTGTCTAACTTTGGAAAATATAAACGGAATACTTCCTGAAACCTAACCATCTCTCCTTTACCTCAAGCATTTTTTCCACTTGAATTAGGAAGGATTCATAAGGAGAACTCTGGGCCTTCCTAAGAGTGGATGTCTGTAGAACAGGAGTATTGAACTAATCCTCAGATCCAATTCTGGTCTTCCTAGGGTTCCACTCTGACCCTCTGGGTTTCATTAGATGTTCCAACCCCTTTCTCCCAGCTGCAGCTCAAGTGGTAGCTTTCTGGAATTTGTGCATTCCCCTGTATGCGCCACCCCATAAAATCCCTCTTCTAATGCTTAATTGCTGGCAACAACAGTTAAATTAAACTAAAATATGCCAGTATTTTCCTGACCTATTTTGCCATTGACTCCACTCGCCCCTGACTGTGACTCCCTAAGAGCTTCTCCAAAATTTAATTTGACCCTGAGACTGAAAGAGTGTCAACAACGTTGCTGTTTTATTTCCTTGCTTTGAAATCTTATCAAATTACCAGTGGAGTGATCCTATGGCTCCTAGACCATAGGATCAAGAGGACCATAGGATATTTCAGAGTCTCAGGTCTCACACTGGAGATGTCACTTTGTGCTTGGAACATCATCCCTCCACTGCAGGTGTTGTAGAAGGAACCACATCATCTGCTTCTCTAAGGGATTTAGTGGATGTTACTCAGGGCAAGAAAGGGAAAGAAATGGTGCCTTCAAGAAGTGAGGTGTCTTGGCAGTCTCTGCTTCCTCCCTCCCTCCTCTGAAGCAGAGCTGTCAGACAGTTGAAATGGGCTGTCTAGCTGCTTTGCAGGGTGGGAGGATCATGTACCTTCCACCCTGCATAAGTTGACCATAATCTTCTAAATTTAGTAGTGGAAATGGTAGGTGGCCCACTAGGGACAGACCCCTGAATCTCTGGGAGGCCATCTGCCCTACTACCCCACTGCCCATGGGGTCAGGGGCCATGATAATTTCTGATCCCCCTGGGTTACAAGTGCTTCATATGCTGCTGCTGTCCCTTGTACATTTCTGAATCTTTTTTTCTGAAATCAAATTCTTTCTCTTCTTAGTCAATACATCTCTCTTTACAAATAGGAGTGTCCTTAGGAGACATAGACACAGATTTAAGAACATATGTAAATTAGCATATGCAAATGTATACATTTTCTTGTTTGTTCTGTGGACGTGTACCCCCATTTTTTGTTGATACCTCACACTGGCCGTTTGGAAAGTTATGGGTGTCCTCATAGGACTGTACCCTAAATCAATAGTAACAACAGCTAATACTTCTATTCAAGGATTAAGCTAGAACCAGATCTTCACTATATCTTTAGCGGTAAGAATGCTGTAGATAGTTTACGTTGTGAAGCATATTTCCAGTCATCTATTACCAACCTTTTGTAACTGTATGTATCTCTTCTTGTTTGTCCTCTTTTAGAAACTTCCAGAAAATTGGGATAGCTGCATACAGAGTAGAATAATGTGTCTCCATTTGCGCTTTTTATGAGAACGGAGTGTGCTGCCTCATCTGACATGATGGATAGCAGATGTTATGGCTGTGCATCAAAGTTTACTGTCTTCAAGAAACAGGCAAGTTCTTGTCTGCTAATCTCAACAACAGCAATGGAGGCATCTGACTCATCTTTATCTTGGCAAAAGGGAGCTTGAATAGTAGGATTTAGAACTTTGGTCCAAAATGGTCCATCAGAGCTCAGTCCTCCAATTGTTTGGTGCATTTTAACCATGCTTCAGCGGTGCAGCTAAGTCTGGAATGTGGGCCAAACTGCAGGCCTGAAAGCCCAAGGTCCTTCTAAGTGACCACTGAGGAACTGGCAACTGATGGGAACATTGGCAAATAACCATATTGTTAGGATCTGGGTAGGCTCGGCATGACATCCTTTTTTAAGGAACATTTTATAATCAAGGTGGCTGGTTTGACATATACACAGGTACAGGTGTTTGTTCTATTATTCTTACTTTTAAAATATGTTAATTTTTTCTACAACAAAACTGTGTTTTTTCCTCAAGAAAATTTATTGACCATCAGAGCAGTGAGCACAAACTCTAATTTATTCCCCTATTCAGGATGTACTATAATCTGAGTGTGAAATGCAAAACTGAACATGCTCAAAGAATCTTATCAAGATCAGCAAACTCTTGCTTTCCTCTACTGTATCAAAGTGTTAAGCATGGACTATCAGGAGATGGTTAGAAGAGAGTTGTGCACCTCTCCTCTCCTTTAATGAATTGAATGGCCTCCCCTCATCCCCAGTAAGGCCATTAAATGCAAAAATTCTGTACCTGCAGCACTGAATTCCCTCCTGCCTTTAAGGTACTGAATGGGGTGGATCCTGGGCAGCTCACTGTTCCTTGACCCCAATTCTCTATTTTTTTTTGTAACTGTGGATTTCTTGGGGTCCAGAGGATAGCTTGAATCCACTTCTTATCTCATGCTCAACAGGTCTGGGCTTTATTTATTTATTTAAAGTTTTTGTATGCCGTCCCCTTGCTATATAGCTTCGGGACGGCTCACAAAACCAGACGGCTTGATGAAAGACTGCTTGGGAACTCCTCTGGGATTCTGAAGGGGTGAGCCAGCAGTATCCAATCATTGTTTTCCTTTTTAAAATATACTTTAGAGAACTATGTGGGGTAAGAATGATAAGGACATGCACACATGGAAGCTGCCTGATTGTTAATCATAGTCATCAGTCATGAGGAAAGCACTGGTATGAGGGACTGTTTCTGAGTGTCCAGTGCTGAAATGCCATCCCATACCAGCTCTTCATACCACTCAAGTCAAGAAAAACCATGTCTTTTTTAGAACTGAAGGTTGTGTTATGGACCATGGAAAGGCTATTGAGATGCTTCTTCACTATGCGTGTTGATGATGCTAACCATCAATTTCTCTGTGTTAAATAATCTGTCACAAAGCTTTTGTAGTGTCTGCTGTATTCCATACTTTTGTATGCTGTCCCAAGCAAATGTGAAATCCACATTACTGTGAAAGCAATGGTGGAACAAAATGTTGTTTTCTGTAGGCCGTGCAGAGTGGGAGAAACCTCATTTTAAGGCCTATTCATACATGATGCTTCCAAAATTATTTAACTAAGATATTTACACACACCAGGAACCTGTGTGGTATATTATTGGACTGGGACTTGAGAGATCCAGGTTCTAGTAAATTCAGCCATGAAGCTCACTGGGTCATTTTGAGCCAGTCACTGACTCTCAGCCTAACTTACCTCACTGGGTTTTTGTGAGGATAACATGGAGAAGAAGGAGCCACCCTGGAGTCCTTCAAAGAGGGAGAAAAGGCAAGGTATAAATAAAATGTAATAATAATATCTTTACAAATGAAATCCTATGTGCCCTTAAAAACTTAGGAAAGTGCCTTATATTGAGTCACTCCATTAGTCCATCTAGCCCAATACAGTCAACACAGATAGGCAGCAGCAGTCTAGGATTTCTGGTTGGAGTATTTCCTAGCTCTGCCAGGAGATGCTGAAGATTTAACTTGGGCCCTCCTTTATGCACAGTATGGGCTCTGCTACTCAGCTACAGCTGTTACACATTTTAGTTGACAGCAAATCCCATTGAACATAGTGGGATTTATTTTTTAGTAAACAAGTTTGGAATTGCTCTGCAGAAGATGAAGAGGCTGTGACTGAGGCTAGTGTTAGAATCATGTGTATCTAATGCAAGTCCATTCACCAGGGAAGTAGGACTGGCTGCTGTTCATTGCTAAGTTTGGTGGCAAACCCAGTTTTGCTGCTACATAATGCGTGAGCTAACTAATGGGTGTCTTTCCATCATTCCATCAACACAAATGAGTCTAGTGATACAAAAATATTTGTGGGTTTTACGGCATGTATTTATATTAGCAAATTATAGTCAAATAGCCTTTTTAAAGAAATTACTACTTCTAAACAATCAAAGGCTCTAGTGTACATTTGACATTTTCTTGTGGAAGCATCTCCTTTGTGAACCCTATTTAAGCAAAGGCTGTGTAGACTTCCCAGGGTTACTCCAGATGGATGCTGAGTGTGCTCATTTCTACCATTTTTTCCTCCCTAGTGTGGATGCAAGAATTGTGGTCGAGCATTTTGCTCGGGCTGCCTTGGGTACAGTGCCATTGTCCCCCGTTGTGGAAACACTCAGCAGAAGGTCTGCAAGCAATGCCATGGGGAATTAACGAGGTAAGAAAGAGCAGTGTGGGTTTTAGCAATATAATGTGTCTGCACTGCTGACTTTTATCAAAGCATAGGATGTTGCCTACAATCAGCTTGCCTCTTCAGCATGTCCACATGGCTTTATTTGTTTATTTATATAGTAGTTTTTATAACTACTTTTTCTTTAAAAGAACTCAATAATGACATACATCATTCGCCTCTTCCTGCTTTCATTCTTATCCCCACAACAGCCACACTGTGAGGTACCTTGGGTCACCCTGTTGGCTCCATGGCTGAGTGGCAACTAGAACCCAGATTGCCTGAGTCCCAGTCCCCTGTTCCTCACCAATACACACACACTGGCTTTCTTATACCTGGTACCTCTTGATACCTGGGGAAAAGACATGCAGACTTCCTGCAGCAACCTAAGAAGGTTCTTCCTGGACATTAAGATTCAGTAGCAAAGGACCAAGTGCAACTAAGCCTGGGAAACACTGGGAGTTATGGGACTTCTTTTTCTCTTTAAACATGCATGGGATCGCATCCTGAACTGAGGTGTGGAGGCATTTTCAGTAAATGGGGCTGGCCCAGTTTTCCAGGCCTGCTTCCATACCACATCTGTCATTACTGTCACCGGCCAGTAGGGCCACCAGAGAGGGCTGGAGAATGTAAAAGAAACTATCCTATAACTTCCTCCTCTCCAGCCTGTTGTTTAGAGAACTATTCCCTCAGCCTTCTGATTTCATCCCTTTCTCTGTCTGGAGTGCAGACTAACAGCACAATCTTGAGTTCAGTGGGACTGACTACTCTGAAGTAAGTGTGTATAGGATTGGACACTGAGGCTGTTGAAATATGCTGCTTCTGCTCTCCTGTAAATTAGAAATGTAGAAACAGAGCGAGTCAGAAGGGACCTCCTCTAGTCTGACCCCCGGCTCCAGCCAGCTCCGCTCATGACATGCCTACCATGTGTACATCCAAATTGTGACTAAACACTAAATTTTTGATCAACTGAAGATCATGCAGTCCCATTCCAGACTTCAAATGGAGATATTGTTCCATATATTTTCCTGCACACTGAAAACTAGCATGTCAGGGTGAAAGTTAGGCTAGATCTCTTCTTCTTAACAACTGATCTAAGTTCAGGAGCTTGATGGGAGCATGCAGTCACAATCAGGCTGATGTAGTACAATCAAGGAACAGATTTATCACCTCATACTATGCTGCTTTTTGAGGAAAGAGTCTGGAGTTTAGCAGTGGAAAGCAAGATGGGGCCATGGGCTGAGGCTACATCCTGTCATAATTACAAGGGATTCACATCTGCCTTGGTAACTTTTCTCTTTTTGGTTTTTCAGTGGATCATCTCAGTCAAATACAGCTAAATGGTCTCCACCAGAGAACTACAAAAAGTGAGTCCTCACTACTTCATTGGTTTCATTTCATAGCTTTGATATTCGTTGCCAAAACAAAGCAAGGCAAAGGTATATGTACTTATGCGTTCTCATTCTACAATTTCCAGTCTCTGTTGTGAATTGGACTGAGATTTGGTTATTAATAAGTCAAATATACAGTTCTCTTTTTTGTGGTAGAATTCAGATTGCTAATGTAGAGGATGAAGGGTTCAAAATGCTTTTCCAACCTAATTCCCAAAGGGTAGCTTTGTTGCTAAAGTAGCATTTCTTATTGTAGCAGCTGTGCTTCTTCTCTGCAGATAAACACGCACACAAACTCACTTAGTACAGAAAGTAGGTTTTCATGGTAGAGCACTGTATAATCCTTACTTAAATTGCTTGTCTCTTAAGACCGCTTCATACATACATGTACACTGCTCAGCATTCCATGATGCCAGAAAATGTGCAAATGGATTTGACAAGCATGGCTGTGCTTTATGCTATCAGGAAATTCTACTTGTGGTGTTTAATTTGTGATAGTGATTCATGCAAGTCCTCAGTGATCAAGCAGGGGCAGGGGGCACAAGAATGTAGTTTTGCGATTATGTTTGTAACATATGTGGCATCTTTTTTCCCCCAGGCGCATAGCAGCCCTTGAGGCCAAACAGAACCAACCACAGGGACATCGGAAGGGATTGGTAAAATCCCAAAGCCAAACAGACTCTAGACATCAAGGACTACCAAAAGAGGATCGGCTTATAGCAGAGAGATTGGAGAGGCTCAAGAAGGAAACGAGGCCCAGTGAGCATTGCTGTATTTCAGACCAGTACCATCCAAGCACCCTGAAAGCCTACTTAAGACACAGCATTAAACAGACTTCAAAAATCAATTCCCCATCTTGTCCCCATACATGCAACTGGAGGGAGGAGTTGTCCTTAGCTTTTGAGCCCTAGCCATGTACTTAGAACTTCATGGAAAAGCGGAATATGGCAAGACTGAGCTATATACCTGAGAGAGCAATTCTGTGGCCCCAGACACTATCTGGGGAAACTTAAGATACTTTAGATTCTCATATCCGAGATTGGGAAGAGAGCTCTGACTTTAGCTAGGAATCCACACTCTAATGTTCCTCTCTAGAATTAGGAAGTCAGCCTTGGGGTGGGGGTAAAGGAGGCTTTCCAGTGGGCAGGGAGGAGAAGAGATTTCCAAGGGCAGGATATGAACTATTCTGAGGTCTCCTCCTTGCCCCCACTGAAGCACCCTAGCTAGGCGGTCAACAAATAGCTTTTGTGTTTACAGCAGGTGCACACACACACACTACGCAAAACCTTAAGTGTGGTTTTGAAAGTGCTTGATGTATTGTGCATACCGCTTAAGTAATGGTGTTTGTATGACATTCAATGGCAGAAATTTTGTTGATCCAATGATCTCTATGTAGATTTCATTTTGGATTTCATAAAATACTTGCACGTGTCTGTCCCCAATAAAGTAGCAATCTAAAATATTAGCTTTGCATTTCTAGTATTTTTGTATGGCATAGGTTTATGTAGTACATTTAAATTGCACTCTTGCCTGAGAATGAGCCCCACTGAATTCTGTCAGACTTACTTCTGAATAAATAGGCCTAGGATTGCACTGTATGTAGAAATCTTTAGCTATCTTCTAGTTCTGGATCTGTGTGTTCCTGGGGTTTCCCCACTTCCCCCACTAAGAGGTTTGTTTAATGAGTGTGCTTTACAGATTGCTGTGCAAGGGAAGAATTTTATATTTGGCAGATAATCTCTATATTCAATGTATAATATATGAAGTATGTTTGTTGTTGGTTGGGAGAAGGGTCTCTGTTCTATGTGTAGGGTAGCTTCTAGCTGTTGAGCTTTCAGAGGCAAAATTGCTTGATGGAAACTGTGTCTGATGAAACCGCAAAAATAATTTGATTTAGATAGGATTTCCAGTAGTCAGCAGGTGGAGTTTCAGCCCTTTGAATAATTCCTCTTTGTCTCGTCTCTGTGGAAAACAGACAATGAATCACTTGTCTGTTTTTGTGCTTTATTCAGGTAGAAGCATCAAATAATACATGCAGCCCTGCCAAAGAAAAGAATACAAGTTTTATGCCAGTTTCACATCTGGCTCTAGTCAGCAAGATCACCTCAGGCAAAATTTAATAGTTCTTCTGTTTGCATCAAGCTGTGGAAGGGTGGGCTGAAGGACTGACAAGGTTGGCAAACAACATGGCTTCCTTCCTGTCCCTACCGCCAGATTATACCACTGAAATAAGTTCAGTTTGGCTTAAGCAGAGATGGATGGCTTGTGTGGAAGGGCTATTCTATTTAGTTTTAGTGTTCCAAACATATTCCTGTGCAGAGAATTCTTTAATTCCAATTATATGTCTTTTGCACCTGGTTGCTGGATCTTGGGGTCATAATATGAAGCAAGATGTACCTGTAAGCCTGAAGTTTGTCCTGACCTGCTGGTATAACAGTGGAGAAATGTGGGGAATTGCAATTCCACAATGTTTTCAGGGCTGGAGCAATAACACCACCTGTCAGAGTGCCAGGAAGAATTGCTGGAGCCTTCCTGCTCTAGTAAGTAAGTGAAGGGATAACAAGCAAGCTTTACTGTTGTTTATGGCTGATTAGTGCAGGAGAAGTGAGAGACTGAAGAAAATCCTAGAGCAAAGTTTGGATAGTTTTTTCTGTTTCTTTGAGGTTCTTACACCAGATTAGCAATTTCAGTGATGCCTATTCTTTGCAATGTCTAATTAATACGAGCTAAAGGTTTCATTGCAGCTTGCTGAATTGCTCAGCATTTTTAGCAAGGCAAACCTATGCCATCAGAATTCAGTAAACATCACTGAGTTCAGTGGAGCTTAGTCCCAGGTACCTGCACATAGGATTGCAGGCATATTGATCCTAACAGATCGATTTTGTGTTATGTACAACTGTTGTTGCGCTCTCTCTGTCTCTCTCTCTCTGCATGTGCATATGTGTGTGCATGCATGTGTACACACCACTGTGATGAGTTTCAGTACTTCCAAATATACCACTGCACCATTGGTTTGTAAGGAAATTAGGCAAGAAAAGTCTTTTGAACTCTGCTGCAAACTAATTTCTTTTTAATTGGACAGAGTCCATTCCCTCTCAGGCTGAGATAGAGTCCAGGCTGGCAGCACTGAAAGATGACCCTGCAAAACCCATTCCATCAGCCCAGGAAATGGAAGATCGTCTGGCAGCTTTGCAGGGCAGAACACTTCCTTCTGCAACTCCCAAGCCAGTAAGATTTCCTCTTCCTCTGTTGTCTCCTCCTCCTCCAGTATAACTTTCCCAGGGCATGACATAAAAGACGGCTCTATCTCTTCCTTGAAATCTATCCTTTCCTTCCTAAGAAAATGGGGCATGGTCTTTTGAGCATCTCCTTGTTTTGCAGAATAGCAATAAGATGTGGATGCTTAAGTTGATGATGATTCTGAGGTACACTTCAGTGAGCACCCTTATTATTTCTAAGATCAGATGGATGGAACAAAAGCTTATGGAACCAAAGAACCCTTCTCTTTGTTGGTTGCTTTGCTTGTTTAAAGCAGGGGTGAGGGACATATGGTTCTTGAGACGTTATTCAACTCCAGCCTCAGTCAATATAGTCAATAGTCAGGATGATAAGATCTATGGTTCTACGATATCTGAAGATACCTTGGTTCCCCAATCAAAGACTTTGAATAGCTTGCTATTTCCCCCAACCATTAGGGATACTAAATGTGGAAACTTGTCCGAAGTTGCTTTGACACTTTAATATCTCAGGGTTGAAACAGTTGTGTCCCTCTGCTCAGAGAGGGATTTTGCTCCATGGAATGGAATGTGAGGTAGTTTTGCTCATTTCTCCTGCCCCGCTATACCACCTCCCACTAAAAGGTTCCCCACTTCTCCAGAGCATATTTGGAGTGGAGCGGGGAACCAAAGGTGGTGGAGGAAAGAAAGAATGAGCAAAAATCACCTTCCTATATTTCCATTTGCAGAAGCTTCTGCTGGATCAAAAAGCCTTCCATGAATGGTGGAACATTGATTGTTTACCACCCTCAAACAGCAAGGCTGCTGACAGAGAGTTTATAGAGACCTGTTCTCATTCAGCTTTTGGCTCATCCAGCTTTATGCTGCATGTCCTCAGTAACTCTGAAATAAGTATGAAGAAATGTTGGGTTGGCCCCAAATAACAGAATGCCCCCTGGCCTTTGAGACTTTTGGAAGCTATCGTATTAAGGTTTGTTCTGTGTCTGTTTCAAACTTCAGAGTTCTTCCATGTAACTCGCTCATCTGGGTCCTTCTCTGTGTGTGTCTTCCCTTCTTAGATACATCAGCTTCCTAACACCAAGACACAAGCAGAGCAGTCAGATGACCTGCTGAACCAGATAACTGAGGAAGTTGCCATTGATGAGAGTGGTGGCTCCGGAATTGTGCCTCAAGGTTTGTTTTGTTTTAATTCTGGCTCAGTCTTTCGAAGTCCTTTTAATGCAGAGGTAGAAGCAGGGCTGCCTCAAAGACTCATGCTTCAAGGTGCACTACGCTGATGGAACGCTATGTGTGAAAATACCTATTACTGTACAAGCACTTACCTTCTCACTGGGTACGGGCTAGGCTAAATAATAATTGTTAAAAATGAACATTGGGTGCTCTTCTTTTTGTGAGGATCTCTCTGCTAATCATAACATTGGAGCATAGTGTACCATGCCTTTGGAGAATGCATTACTGTGACAACCCAGCTTCTGCAGGCAACCCTGTGTGCGCAACCCTGCAGGTACAAGAGCTTACCACCTTGCATATTTAGACAGAGCTTTGTTTAATGAGTGCGCTTTTTTAATGAGTGCGCCAGCTGTACCAGCTGCCACCAGCATCCTCCTCAGTTCCCAAGTGCACTTGGTCCCTTGGGAATGACTGGTGAAAAGATCTCCTTGGGATCCTTTGTGTACAGCCTAGATGGTGCTTTGTAGTTACCTAGAACCCACGTGTGGAAACAGTGTAGCATGAACCCAAAACTTGCCCTGCTTCTTTTGAGCCTCCCCGCGTTTACCCCTGAAGCACACAATCTGGGTTTTAGTGACAACAGGGTAAAGATTTATTTAGGATTCAGGAAAAGATGCAGAATTGGGAAAAGGTTGGTCAGATTATGAGCACAAAACAATGAGCAGTTTGAGGAGGCAAATCAGTTTCAGTGCACAAATCAATAAGTAATGGAAAGCAGCAAATCAGTGGCAAAATAGAAATGAAAGGGAAATAGACCAGAATAGCTCTGTGCTAAGCTTCCTGTCTACTTTGTTGAAGACATGCTATGCCCATGGTGCAGCTCTCTTGGTGTCTGCATCAGATTTTTCCCCCTTTGGTTGGGGTAATATTGCTCCTGGGCTGGAGAAACCTTGAGCAACCTCTCCTGGTCCTGCCTCAAGCTCCCTGCCTTCCTTGAGGACTTGCTCCTGGCACCTGTGCTGGAAGGGAAAGACCACCCCCCCACACACACTTCCTTTCCCAGTGGAATTCATCTCCTACATTTCCTTTCCTTGTCCGGGTAAAGATTGTAGAAGAATCTCTTGTTTTTGTCTGCGGACTATCCAGTAATGGCTCATCCCCAGTTCTGAGACAGATTCTAGGAGATACCCGTTGTCCAGCACCTGAATATTTTGCTACAAAATAGATCAACTCAAAGGCAGCACTTGGCCTACAGATGCTCTCAACCAGGCCATCTGCAAGCTTTGCTTAAGCTGTGACCAGCAGCTGAGTGCAGGTTTCTGTTTGTTGGACCTGGATAAGATGGAGCCAGTATGGCCTGGCTGAGTGCCCACTCCAGATTGACCATAACAACTGCCTTGACATTTTGTTGACCCTCCCTTGCTATAACAACTCCTACAGTGAAACCCCGGTTTTATTATTCCAGACAGAATATACTAGTCACCTTCCCACCCACCTCCTGTAAGTTGGAGTTTGCTTCCAGACAAGGCTTTTATTGTGCCACTGCCCTTCCTCATTCATGGGATTTTGCAGTGAGGGTGGGGCATGGACTCACAAACAACTTCAAGCCTCCTGTGTTTTTCTACCACTTTTTCCAGCTTTTTTCTTACCTTAGAAAAAGCTTTAAGGAGAAAAAAGATGGAATAGCTGCACAGTGCCTTTAAACTCATAGTGCTAGAAGTTTTCTGAGGGGAAAACATGATCCTGGGCTTAAAACCAAAGAAGAACCTCTGCAGAATCTCAAAACTTTCATTCTCATTCTTCATCAGAAAGTCATCTAGTAAACACAAGCAAACATAATGCGGAAAGAAATAACAATGAGCCCAGTTTTCTCCAGTGGGGGGAAATTTATGCAAGCTGTATTGCATGCATTATGGTGACTCAAATGCTTGATGAGCAGTCAGCCTCCCCACCTTTCCCCTGCACTTCAGGTGGGCTGTTCATCTTTTTAAAGAACAGAAGTGCCACATAATGCATCCATTATTTATATTCCCTCCCTGACTTTGTTTAAACAAGAAAACCGTTCCACTGTTTCCATAACTAAACTAAAAATTTCCTGGGGCCATCATGCTTGCTTTAAAAGTTTGCTGTACAGTAGGTCCCCTCTTATCTATGGGGAACAGGTTCCAAGACTCCCAGCAGATGCCTGAAACCACAGATAGTAGTGAACACTATATATTGTACAGTTGGCCCTCCACATTTGCTGGAGTTAGGGGTGCAGAACCCCCACAAAAGTGGAAAAACCAGGGATATCTCTAGAGAAGAACTGTGAGGATCTCTAGGAACTCTGCTTGGTGATGCCACACTCTTTGTCTCAGAAGTAGCCAGACTCACTCATGAGTTTTGTTTCTCAGTTGGTCCAAACACTCTACAGATATTCATGTTTTATTCCCTAGAGGTATTTGCATGTTTTCCTCTAGAGATATTTGTGGTTTTTCCACTTTTGCAGGGATCCTACATCCCTAACCCATGCAGATGTGGAGAGTCGTGGTCAACCGCAGTTAAGTGAAAGCATGGTAACACAGTGGATAAGGCGGGGGGCGGGGGGTGTCCTACTGTAGATACTATTGGTGCTGCAAGATTGTATCCCTCATTCTGTTATATTTTACATGTATTTTAGCTGCCTTTTAGGAAGGTTAACCCAGAAACCCCTTTCATGGGCTGCCAGAAGATTTATTTATTTATTTATATTGTGATTTATATCCTGCCTTTTTCCTACAAAGGGCTCAAGGCAGCTAACATCATCTCTCCTCCATCTCATTCCCACAACAACTTGAGATTATGCTGCATCTCATCACAGGATGGCTAGCAGCTGAATGTATGGGCTGATTCCAGTGGAATATGTTGCGGCAACGTCTGAGGGGGGATACGAATGTTCTGCCTGCCATGTTTGCTTCACACAGACAGGCCACTGCTTGGGGTTGTGGATGGCCATGCATGTCTGAATTCACTCCAAGTCTCTGCTTTCCAGAAGTTAGGACACAGACGTTGAATGACTTAAATCGAACTGACAATTTTGCTGGCGTTATGGATCTGGATCCCAAACAGCTGGAGGAGGAAAAAAATAGACTTCTGGCAGAAGCTGCTGCTGAGCTGCGGGAGGAGAACACCAGGCAGGAGAAGATCCTAGAAGTGGCCAAACGACTGGCAGTGCTAAGAGGCCAAGATCCTGACACAGGTGTGTAACAAGGAACATTTCCATAAAGGATGCTCATTTCCTTGGAAGAAGAAACTTTTGGTTAGTGGGAATGTGTCCAAGTCTCCAAAATTTACCATTTCTTATGTCAGGATTGCAGTCTTTTTAGGATCAGATAACTAGTATCACCCTAGGTAACTTTTCTTTAAAATATTCACACTATTCTTTCAAGTCATCCCAAGGGTTAGAAAATATTATATTCTGTGCCTGGGCAAATCATACCCCTGCTGCATGTCCCCCTTCTGCCATCCCTAATTCTGTTTTCATGCTGACCACAAAGGTTGCCACCTCAATCAGACCCCAAGCCCCCAAGCAGGCATGTTCTTTTGTTTTCTTTTTTAACAGGCGCTTAATATGCAGAAATCAGTGTGTGAAGTGTATTTGACAATGCAGGAATAAAAATACTGCCTGGCTAATGTCTGCAGATGAAGCTGTTTTGCTAATGGCACATGTATTGTGACCCACCAAGATTAATAGCAGCTGAAATCAGTCTTTTCTCTACTGATGATGGGAGGGCGATACTTCTTTTTGACCTTAGAAATCATGGTGAGTTTTAAGATACTGGCACCAAGATAACATACTTCTGGTGCCATATTTTAAAGAGGTAAAAAGAGAAAGAAATCCTGGGCTGGATTTTTTTGGATAATAGATTGGGGGCTGGGGAAACAGAATGGCTTTGATGCAAGGAGCAGAGTGAAAAAAGAGGAAGAGTGGTGGACTGCTGGACGCCTTGATCCATAAGGGTACCTATCAGACATTGGGATGGGAGTAACCAAGAAATGGCTACTGTTCTTCTTGGTGTACCAGTCTGGGGGTGTATAGGGACCCATGCTGTCAGGCCATCTCTTCTTTTCAGCTTTGTAGGGATTATAAAGTAGGTAAAGAAAGAAAAAATATAAACCCAAAAACAGCCCACTACATGGAGGAAGAATTTGTGCAAGAGAATGTAAGTGTAAGAGTTTCACAGTGCAATCCTACATACGTTTCAGAAATATAATAGAGGCTGCCTAGTGAATGTTGTTATCACATCGTCATTCTTTCTCTTACAGTTACTTCGGATGACTACAAACTCCCCAACAGCGATGAAGAAATGGAGGAGGAAGAAGCCATTCAGAGAGTTTTGAAACAGGTCTGCAGTACTGGGAGTTACTTCTTCATTGTTAATCCTGATGTTTTTCTCTCATTACCTGGGCAAAACTTTGTCAGATACAGCTTTTGCTCTTAATCCCACCCTTGGAGCATATTCTTAAAAGAGTTCTCCAGACTGGTCCAAAATCCTTTGCATGTATGTTATAGAACTTAAAGAGAACATGCGATGTGATTCTCTCATGTCTGTTGTAAACTCCTTTGAGTTCAGTTCCCCAGTATGTGTACCCAAAATTGCAGCTGTAGTTGATAAATCAGCCTTCTCCAATCCACTGCCCTTGAGTTGTGTTCTGCTACAGCTTTCACCATCCTCAACCAATGTGTTGGCCATTCTGGCTGGGGATGGTGGAACTTATAGTCCAACAGACCTGCAAGGCACCAGATTGGGGAGGGCTCCAATAAATGGTTTCAATTGTGCAGCACATTCTGTGCATTTTTATGCAGAATTAAGTCCCACTGTGTTCACTGGGCCTTGCCTGCAGTGTTACAGCCTTAAAGGTATGAGGAGAGAGCTGTGAGAAGGGGAATGGAGGACCTTCTTGAATGCCTCCCTCCCCTCAAATGAAAGGGGGGATTGGCTAGGAAAAGGGCCTTCTCTGTTATTGCCCCTCATCTTTGGAATTCTCTTCCAAAAGAGATGTGACAGGCACCCTCATTACTTTGTTGCCAAGTAAAGACTTTTAAATTTAGTATTTATTTTTAGAATTATGCTTTTATTTGTTTTTGCTCCTGGTTTTATTGTTTCTTATTGTGTATTATCCTCCTGTTCTTGCACTTTGTATTAGGTGGATTTTATATAGTTTTTAGCTAGCATTGTTTTATTTGTTACATTTATACTATGTTGTTGTTGTTTCTTGTGAGCCACCCAGATGCAAATACACTAATTATAATTTATCCGATTAACAAATATTGGGGCTTCAGTGAAAATAATAACAGAATAAAAGAATGGCATAAAAAGAAAATGAAAACCAGAAAATGGAAAAACTAGGGTAGAAAGAGGAACATTTTTAAAGGTTTCTAGAAGAGGGAAAAATAAGAAGGAAAGAGCTGCTCTGTTTATTTTATTGCATATGTATCTAGCCAAATGAACTTAGAGTGGTATTATGGACCCTTTCCCCAACTTCTTATCTTCTCTGCAGCCTCTGAAGTAGGTTAGAGCTGGTGACCATGCAAAAGTCACTGAGTGACCTTTGCTATGAAGTGGGGATTTGATCCCAAGCTCTCTGTGCATGTACAGATGATTAGTGGTGCTACTTGGTCATATGATATGGAAACATAGTGATACAATCTATTTCTTTCCCTGAATAACATGCATGTGTGTATGTGCTTGCTTAGTAAACTAAAGATTAAGAGAGAAAAGAAAAGAGCTCCTGTGTGAAGAAAAGTCCTTGTGATATGTGTTGCTTATTTTTTAACCGTCAGCTTACTGAGGAAGCTGCGCTGGATGAAGCAAGTGGCTTCAATATTTCCCCAGATCAACCCAGCCAGCCAGCAGCTGCGCCACAGAAACTGCCCAAGAAAGCCAGGCAGGTGAGAACCCATTTGCGCCCTGGATATCTGGCTTGCTTTGACCCCCACGCTCCATGCAACCAAGTATAACCTGGATATCAGCCAGATCCCTGTGGGTCAGGGAACACAACACAACACAATTTGCTGGAGGGGGCAGAGGACCACCAGCTCTCTGTGCATGGCATGAGGTCAGGTGGCCTTGGCCACACCCTCTGGATATCATGTGCTTCCCGGCTGAAGTGCTGGGTGAACCTTTGCCTGGTGAGGGGCAGGTTTTGCAGTCCTGGGCTTTCCCAATTAGAAAAGCACCCCCCTAAAAAAACCCCATGCCAACAAAACAAAGGGGGTCCAGCCAGCTCTGCCCAGTTTCCCTGTGCGTGGCCTTTTCAAGTCCAGAGGAGCAAAGGGGACTTGGCTGGCCCTGCCTTGGTTTCACCCATCCTGCCTTGTTCCCACAGCAGAAGAGGACGAGGGGGCGAGCGAAGGCAAGCTGCCCAGTTCACCCTCGCTTCAGACTGGCAAAGTCCACACCCAGGAAAGGCATGCAGGAGGCCCCTCACTGTTGCTTTCCATCTGAGATGGGAGAGAACAGTGGGCATTCCTCTCCCTGCCTCCTCCCCAGCCTTTGGTACGGATGGGGCTCATGAAGGGGTGGGGTTTGGGGTGTCAGAGAAGCAGGGCCTGAAGGGAGGTGGTGGGCTCTCCCACACTAGAGACATTCAAAAAGAAACCGGACAGCCATCTGAGTGCGATGGCGTGACTTGGTGTCCTGCAACAGCAGGGGTTGGACCCCATGGTCTTTGTGGCCACTTCCAACTCCAAGTTTATTCTTTCTTAGCAGAATAGACTTTTTGTGTGAAAGGACAAATGAGTAAATAACTCAAATAACATACCTCAGGTTTTCTTGGTACACAGTTGAGGTGGAGAAGATTTGAAGAATACGAACAGTTATGCTTCTTTCCCACAGCTGTCCTTTGGAGTCAGGAGGCGCTGCTACAGCGGGGTTTGTACATGATGATATTGCATTGCTCTGCCCTCTTCCTTAGGCACAAGCTCCAACTGCAGCTAAGCCCCTCGCCTTCTCTGCTACATTGCCCGACAGCGATGAGGAAGAATTACCCTGGTGCTGCATCTGCAATGAAGATGCCACACTGCGGTGCCACGACTGTGATGATGACCTCTACTGCCAGCGCTGCTTCAGGTAATAGTAACAGCCCTGTGAGAGAAACCTCCCACAGCCTGCTATGCTCATCCTGTTTTCCCCTCAATATGCCGCTCTTTCCCAAACCACTCTCAAGAAAGTTTCACCGGTGCTTATGGTTTCTACGTACTTCAAAGATATGTTTGTTCCAGCTCAGCAGTATTATCTTACTGGCAAGAGAGGTTTTGAAGCTTTCCTCTATATATGGGCCCTCCCACCCCCATGGGAGGGTGTCCTCCTCCTCTTATTCCCTGATTTTATGGGTCTGGCAGTTGGGGGGGAAAAAAAACCTGAATACTAGAAGGACTCCACACTCCAGTTCAGAAGCGCCTTTGTTGTCTGTCTGCTAGTACAAGAATGCATGCAGACTTTGAGGAGCCTTGGGAACAAGCAGGGAAAGCACCATTTTGGAAGTGAGAAAGGAACCGAGTATTGAAGGAGAGAAGTGAGGTCCCTTCCCAAATTGCATGCCTGCCAGGGATGAGGAGGAGCAGCAGGCTGCAGCAGCTCAAATGCAGCCTGAAGAGGAGAGCGGCAGTGAGGAATGGTGCTGCACTGTGGTCGAGGCAGGAAGCATTGATCTAGCATTGATCTTGCATTCTGTGGCATGTCTGGCTTTGCTCTATGTCCTGGACTAGGAGGTGGGCGTCCCAAAGGGCCTGAAGGGACAGCCAAAATGTACACCCAACAACAGCAGTTCATCTGTCCAGGCGGAGAGAGGAGGGTGACAGCAGTGGTACCCTGACCTCCCCACCTTATACCCAGCCCTGCCCTTCTCCTCCATGATTTTCTTTTTGCCGTTACACACTGTGCCTGTATGGAGCAGCACAACTGTGAACTACCATGCAATTTATTTTTAGACCTTCATTGGTATTTTAGGTTGCACACCATTGAAGATGGCCGTAACAGCGGCAAACTTAAAAAAAAAAAACAGGGAAAAAGGAAACCAAAATGGCCACCTGCGATTGGCGCGCCAGATGTGCCATGCACATCTGCTACAAACACAAACAGTGAAACAGGATGGTCCATTCAAATTCTTCAAGCTTTCCCACAATTAAAACACTATGCTTTTGCCTGGTATTCAATTTTGTTATAAACATAGTGGATAGCAGGGCTTTTTTTGTCATAGAATGCACTGGAATGGTGTTCCGGCACCTTTTCTTGACAGATTTTTCCATGTGATTGTGAATCGCCCTGTCGGGCGTAGCAGGTAAAAAGCATTAAAATAGTGCCTGCGGGCTGCATGTGTGTCTGCGCTGCTCGGGAGGGCGCTGTTCAGCTCGGGACGCTGCTCAGCTTGGGATCGGTCGCGTGGTCGCTTGCTCGGTGCTTACTGCCGGCGGCGACCATTATGTTTATGTGTGTGTAGAGTGACTGACCCCAAGAGGTGAGTTCCGGCACCTTTTTTTTTTTTTTACAAAAAAAGCACTGGTGGATAGTATGTAGTATTGGTTGTCCCCCCGCCCGCCAACTCACAAATCAACTCCCCCCTGCCCAAGAACCTGCATCACAAATCAATGAGGAGTTCAGTCTTCCGAGCCAATACTTCTTGTGAAGTGAATGAGCGTTCCTGGCACACATTCAGGCTGGCAGAGTCAACTTTTACTAATCGGTGACTGCAACTTCCTGTTTTGTCTTTTAGGGAAGGCCATGATGAATTTGATTGGAAGGAACATCAGACATCAAGCTATCGTCCTCCCCGCAAGCAAAAATGAGCCCCTGGGATGAGGGAAGCATATGAGTGTGAAATGGGAGGAAAAAGAAAAATTGTGTTCAGGAAAGTTTGTCATGGTAGCAAGAGCTGGACTGTGATAGGTGACATGGTAATACTGAGGAGTTTGTAAGACCAGACCTTGTTACTAGCAAGATCAAGGCAGCTGATGTGAAGCTAAGCAATACATTTGAGCTGGTTTATGAGTTAGCCACAAATACTAGGAGCATGAAGAATGACATGGTTAGGAAGATGGGCTCTTTTGCATAGGGGGACTCTCTGATCAGATGAGATATACAATAAGAATATTGCAAAGGTAATAAATTATATGAAAACATGTGGTAGATTTTCATTCCATTGTATTTATTTACTCTATTATTCCCCCACAAAAGAATTAGATCTAGGGTCTACATTGTCTTTCTTAAATGCTGTTGAATCTATAAGACTTTTCAAAAGAACACCATTTCCTGTTTTCCTCAGAGTTTATTCTACTCCTCATCTGAAAATGTTCCAAAAGAGTTTCACATGCAATCAGTAAAATGAAAGAAGCCCAGTTCAGGGACTTAAAATTTAAGAGGAAGTGATAACCAAGGAAGGAGGGGTGCAAGGAGGAAAGGAAAAACGTCAGTAGCATTTCAGCAGAGCTGGTGGAATGGACCCGCTTCCCTTCTCGTCGCTGCCTGGTGAAAATGCACCACCCCTGGCGTGCAGCTTTGTTGTTGCAGGTGAATGCTGCTCGTTGTCACATTTTGCTAGAACCGTGCATCCTGGAGAATACAGTGAAGAATGTTTTCCCCTGTCTATATATTAGCGTTAATCAAACTTAGACCATTCTAGCACACGCGAGTGCTCCTCTCCTCTCCTCTCCTGGCCATGAGTCTTGGGATGGAGTGCTTGAGAACAACCAGCCATTTAATCTGCCACACTTTTTGTGTCAGCCACATACAGGGCCAGCCCAATATGTCTTGGGGGCCAAGTTATAAATCCATTTATTATTGCCTTTTACTGGTGCTCCAAATGGGCTGTTGTGCTTCTCTTCAAGGTCGCACCAGTCCTAGACATGTAGACCAATGTGATAGGAAGACACTGCACGTCCAAAATGAAACAGAAGGTCTTCTAGAATTGGCAGCTGCATAGACCAGTGCTGAGTGGAATTCTCACCTGTCTTCTCTAACCAAGTCAAAGGACTGTAGGAAGTTCTGTGTAAAGTTGTGTTTATTAACAGCTAGTTTCAATCAGAGCACACTTCTACACAGCAACAGTTGCCCTTTTCCCTAAAGGGAATTAAAGGACAGGCTGCTTTGGGAAGCAAGGCATGGCAGGAGTCTCTGTGGAAGCAGGTGTGTGCAGTCAAAGAAGTATATTCAAATCATCCCAGTCTCCTTGGTAATTAATATGTGAACAGGGCTGTTAATACCTGGACAATTACCATTCTTCTAGCAATGCTTGCATCATCAGATTTAAGACACCTCCCAAAGATAAAACAAATACCATGTATTAAGAGGCATCACAGCTAACACAAAAGGAAGCACTTTGGTAGCAAAACTACATTGTGTTAATCTATGGCACTGGCTATACCGGGAAATTGTGACAGCTATGATTTATAGTTGTGCAAACTATTTTCAAAGGATATTTACTTATGTATTTAGGCCGCTCACAATACTATAAAATGCACTACATTGATCAAACCCTGGAAGGCTGCAAGAAACAAGCAGCAAGGAGGCTGGCACTAATTTGGTGAGTTTGGGAAAACAGCTCTGTTTTTGCTACAATAGTCTTGTAGCAAAAGCAGAGTTGCCCTCTGAGTTTTGGAAAGAACAGAATTGTGGGATGAAATGGAGGTACATCCATGGTTATTAGCCAAGGTGGCCAGCATATGTGTCCCCTCCAGAAAAGTAAGAATTATTTTGAAACTTCTCTCCAACCCAAGAAGTTGTACTGCATGGACCTCTAGATCCAAACAAGCCGAATGCAAAGGCACACTCACTTGCTTGGACTAGAACTGCCTTTCCCAACAGGCTGCCTTTGGCATCTCTTGGACTACAAATCCCATCATCCCCAACCAGCAGCATCGAATCGGTAAAGGGTTAGGAAAATCTGGGCTAGAACCTGAAGGAGCAGTAGAGGGAGCATGTTGTCCTTGACCCTGAAAAAGGGACACTTAGGTTTCTAAATGACCTCAGGAGTGACACCATTCCTGAGCCTCATTCTTTACTGGCAATATGGGACCAGGTCATACACCTAGCAGGTTAGATGATGGTCTTTCCTGTGGTCAAGGAGTGAGGGAAAACACCATGTAGATCACTCCATGTATGATGGGATGCTCTACCCAAGAAACCTATGTATGTGGAGGCCTGATGTCCATTATCTTAGTCCTGACACCTGACTTATGTCTCAGGCAGAGAGGACTGTGTCTCCTTTGATTTCTAGCAGAGGAACAAGATCAGGCAGCTGTGTAATCAACCCCAGGTTGGCTGCTTTCAGAGGCTGCTCTGAAGAAAAACTAGAAAGAGTATCAAACACTTTCTGACCTCCATATGAACCCTGAGTTTGCAATTTGTGGCCTTCACCTACCTTTGGCCCTGGCCCTGTTGACTAGCGAAGATGGGAGTTCTAGAATGCAGGTTGTCCAATTTTGATGTAAACTATTAGTAAAGTTGTTTTTTTCTGTCTTAGGTTGCTGAACTACAAAACATATTGTAGGATCTGTTCCATGTACTGTCAGCTCAGGTGAGGTTGGTAGAGAAAGCAGGCTCTGTGGTTGTGTTTGGGGTTGCTACATCTGAACTGTACTGTAGAACGGTGACTGCTCCACCCTATTTTTCAGCCTGCCTGCTAAGGAGTGGCCAGTCAGTGTGCCATCAGACTTATTCTTCCTTGAACTGTATCAATAACCAGTTTTCCAGGTTTTATTTTAAACCATCATGGGACCTGCCCTTGGCTTGAAGCATTCTGGGTTTTGGCTTTTTGTTTTCTTCTTTTCCTTTTTTCAAAATGAGAGGAAACAAAAGGGAACTGAACTAATCTGAGACTTGCTTCAAGATTTCAGTTCTTCCTCACTCAAAATTTATCAAAATGGTTTTCTGTGGCCAGAAAAAGCAGAATGCATTTTTGCGGGAAGGGCATGTAGCCATACCTGCAAAGAGAAATAAAAGTTTTACTTGCTTAGCTGCCTGTTCCCTTTCTCTTCCAGCAGCTGAAAGGTCTACTCTAGCCTCAGTCTGAGCCTTTGTGTCCTTTGTTCATTCTGTGTGAGAATGGCAACCCTGAGCAATTTGTAAGAAACGTACTACACAGAAAAACGCATTTTGAAAAGAGTTAAGGACTGTAGAACATTGCTCAAATTAAATTTAGCACAATTCTGCCACCTTATTAAGCAGGACTGTGTTGTTGTGCAGCACATGTGACTACCATGTGCTGCCTCCTTACATTCCCTTGGTTTATGTGTGCATGTATATCACCATATTTACATAGCCACCCATCATCCTGTTTGCCCTGAGTGGCTCACAGTACAGAGACTAAAACACAATAAAATTCTATCTATATAATACAATAAACACAGTAAACAAAGTCCTTCACGGTTGAGTAGTGGAAGAATAAGACCAGCCCTTAAAACCTTTTCAGTACATGCAAGTTGGTTCAAAGTCCTAAGTGAATAAAAAGGGCTTAACTTAGTAATTGAAAGATAATAAAGCTGAATAAAGATAATAGAGGAAAGGTGATAGTAGCTGAAAGTTGGCTTGAAACTCAACATCAAGAAAGCTAAGATCATGGCAACCGGTCCTATCACTTCCTGGCAAATAGATGGGGAGGAAATGGAGGTAGTGACAGATTTTATTTTCCTGGGCTCCAAGATCACCGCAGATGGGGACTGCAGCCAAGAAATTAAAAGGCGCTCCTGGGGAGGAAAGCTATGGCAAATCTAGACAGCATACTAAAATGCAGAGACATCACCCTGCTGACAAAAGTGCGTATAGTCAAGGCTATGGTTTTCCCAGTTGCAATGTATGGCTGTGAAAGCTGGACCATAAGGAAGGCTGAGTGCCGAAGAATTGAGGCCTTTGAATTGTGGTGCTGGAGGAGACTCCTGTGAGTCCCTTGGACTGCAAGGCGATCAAACCAGTCAGTCTTAGAGGAGATCGACCCTGACTGCTCTTTAGAAGGCCAAATACTGAAGATGAAACTCAAATACTTTGGCCACCTAGGACTCCCTGGAGAAGACCCTAATGCTGGGAACGATTGAAGAGAAAAGAAGAAGGGGATGGCAGAGAATGAGGTGGCTGGATGGAGTCACTGAAGCAGTCAGTGTGAGCCTAAGTGGACTCTGGGAGATGGTGGAAGACAGGAAGGCCTGCAGGAGTGTTGTCCATGGGGTCGTGATGGGTCGGAAGCAACTTCGCAACTAACAATAGTAGCTGAGTGAGCTTCACTGGGAACATAATTCTATGGCTGGCATGTACACTGGTTAAAGAGTCAGACTAGTACAGTGGTTAGAGTGTTGGATTGTGGGAAGTCCAGGATCTAATGCTCACTTGGCCAGAAGCTCACTGGGTGAGTTGGGAGCAGTCAGTGACTCACGGTGCAATCTTAGCTCACATGGTGGTTGTGAGAATAAAAATGGAGAGGATTATGTAAGCCTTAGAAGAAAGAAGGCATGTGGGACAGAAATAGAACAAAACAATAAAGTGGGGTCTCTGAACAATTATTGTTATGGATTTCTGACAGGCAGAGGACGAAGAAATGGTCTATGGTGAGAACTTTCAGATGAGAATGATAGTGTTGTGCCATGGATAAAAATCCCAAATGAACACCATCAAGGATACCTTCGTGATGTTCCTTGGGCATGTTTTTAGGATGTAAGATGTTGCTCTTCCTTCAAAGATTGCTGGTCATCGGGAAATAGTGCCAGTTTGGAGTAGTGGTTAAGAGTGCTGGACTGGGCCTTGGGAGATGTGGGTTGTAGTCTCCGCTCAGCCATGAAACACCATGGGCAACTTTGGGGCAGTAACTCACTCTGAGCCTAACCTACCTCACAGTGTGGTTGTTTCTTGCAAAAGGTGGAAAGATGTGGTATAAATGTAATGAAATAATAATAGTATACCATATGTAAGCCTCTGGGGCCCCTGCTTCCATGGCATGCTATGCCATGTGAAGTCCCTCAACTATGGCTCCTTCCCAGGCCCTACATCCTTTCCCAGTGAAGAAATGCTCTTATCAGTTCAGCATCTGTTTGGAGATAAGAGCTCTTTATTGCCAAGACATTGACATTGCCCACCCAGGGCTGGGGGAAGAAGCTGGCAAGCTGGATGGAAAACACCTGTGGAACATACCTGACTT